ATGTATTTAAAAATAAAAGAAATTCCTTTATTTGTCAGAATTCTTTCAAATATTGAAAAGATTGTTTAAAATTACTGTGGGTATCGAACTATTTATAATTCTTTCCTTCCATTTAAATGTTACCATTCCATTTAAATTTAGGCTAAAAATAAGATCACAGTCGGCAATTTATTTAATGCTTAGATATTGATTTCTTACTATGAAGATTTGAAATAGAAAGCACTCTGTCGTATCGCAAAATTTTAACTTTAATTGATTAAAAGTTATAAATGGCGGAATAAATATCAGTCTCTCTAGATATTAATTTTTACACTTGTGTAATTAAAATTCATAAATTATATAATTAATAAATTATATAATAAATCTGCATCAATGAAAAAATTATTTTGTTTTTTTTTTGTACAAAAGTAGCTACGAAATAATTTCAATTTATATTTCTTTATAATTTATGATTTATTATGAAGAGAAAAATACTTTGTTATCAGAGTTAACATGTTTTCTGTAAAAGTGCAGAAATACCGTAAAATCGTAATGCATAATGATTCCCCAATGGTCGTTAAATCCGATAGTTTAGACTTTATTCTATCAATTTCTTTCGTATAATGGAAGTTTATCTTATATTTATTATGAAATCTAGGAAATCTAATGACATTTATAAAATAAACTCCGATTCTTTCGCATCATTACGTCTAATTATTTATCCAAACATTATGCAAAGATAATATAAAATAAAAAATCAAATATAATAACTTATTTGCATCACGTAGCCGATTAAGAGATCCAAATGGGATCAAATTTTCTATTTTGAATTATGCTTTAGTGAAGACAAAAGAATCACTTTGTGTTAATCAATGAATATAATTAATGAAGAGCAACCAATATTGTCTATATAATTGATTATCATCGTCATTGTTATCAATATTATCATTAGTACCAGTTTTTTTTCCCTAAAGTATACGGACATAAGGAATGTTGGCCAGAACTATAATATCAAAGTGTCGTCTAACCGTCATTTTCCGTAGTCATCTTCGTTCAAATGCTTGAAGAAACGCACATCGCGGGAGAGACCAGCAATATAAAATTGCTAGCAAAGGCAAAAAGCAAAAGCTTGTCGTGTGTATACGGACAGGAGCGCTTTCGATAGGGCGCCGGAGCCTCTCGTTACGTCTGTGCCAGCAGTGTTCGTCCGCCCATCAGTCAGCTGCTTACGTACGTGTGCACCCAACCAGGATGAGAGCTCCTCATCGCGGCTAATACGGGCCCGAGGTCCCTCGCCGCTGGGCGGATGCATCTCGCGTCGCGGCGTAGAGACCTGTGCGAGCACCCAGAGGCGCAATCGGATCGCGCTCGCAAGCTTTTCGGTTGCTCTGCTCTACGCAGGCGCGCGCGCGCCCATGTAAAAAGAGGCCCTGAGGTTATTATACGCCGTTGCGCGAATTGCTGTTTCTTCTTCTTCGCGCCTCTCTCTCTCTCTCTCTCTCTCTCTCTCTCTCTCACTCTGACTTTCTCTCTTTCGCACTTTCCGAGATCAACACGTGAAGGAGCGAGATAAAAGAGCGGAGGCGCACGCCGTAGCAGTTTCGCGCGCTGTGAAAGGGTAAGAAGCGGCTGCCGAGCAAACGCGAGCGAACAGGAGAGGTAGATGAAGATAACGTCTTCTCTTCTTTTGGCCGATTGTCCGCGTACAGCTCATCTTCGTACTCCTCGTCGGGGTGCACAATCGGGCGCTGATCCGAAGCCGAACGCTCTTTCCGCCTGCCTGATTTGTGGCTGCATTTGTGGCTGCATTTGCGGCTCAGAGAGAATACCTGATAATTTTAAGGTAAAGGCGGTGCCGCGCGATCTTATCGGCTGACACTCGCTGCTCGCTCCACCCCAGCCCCACCCCTTACCCATCCCGTTCTTACTACACCCCAATAACTCATTTGCGTTCCTATCCCCTCCCCCTTCCCCACCCATTCCCGCGCAGTGTCTGTCTATCCGTATTAAATGTAAGTCGATAGGAAGGAAGCTGCTGTTTATCGCCGCTGTGCTGACAGGTATTGGCAACGAGTATGTATGGGAAAGAAACAGACGCAAATAAAGACACACATGTGCAATGATAGAAATAGGGTTTGTGATAAGAAGAGGGAGGGGGGTGGCTAAGCGAATTAGAGAGGGAGAGAGAGAGTGAGAGTGGGAGGGTGTGCGTGTCAAACAGTATGTAGTGTGTGTCCGCTAATCATCGTGGTCTGACACACGCGGCCACGACGACGCGCGATACTGTCGTAACAATCGACAAGTGTAGCTGTCGCTTCCATTTGCATTGACTGTTTTATTAGTGGTTTCGCAAAGGGGGCGAACACGATTAGTTTACCTAATGTGTGGCGCAGGTGAGATGAGCCGCTGTGGACGACTATTCATATGACTCGTGACTCGTCCACAATTGACGTCGTGCTTTGCAAAAAGATAGCGTGAGAAAAGTAACAGAAAGAGAAGGAAAGAGAGAGAGAGAGAGAGAGAGAGAGAGAGAGAGAGAGAGCGACTGAAGTGGATGTTGCAACGAACTGTTCATTTTTAATTTTTCCTTCCTGGAATACTTCTTGTTTTGCTTGCTTACCTCTCTCTCTCTCTCTCTCTCTCTCTCTCTCTCTCTCCCTCTCTTTCCACCTCACCCACTTTCCTTCTCTTTCACTATTTTTCTTATGCTTTATTTTTGCAAATTTTTATTTTAGCTAGTTCTGTTGTCACTTTATTTTACCAGGTTTATTCAACAAAGGCACGCGCACGCATCTGTGCATACTCGCAACTCATACTAAGTACCGAAACGTGTTAAGTGTTTGAATACCCATCAATAGAACCGAAGAGTCAAGGAAGAGTATATGTACAAAGTTGTAAGTTTTCTATCATTTTATCTATTTATGTTTTCCTATTGTATCATCTTTCATTCGTGCGTGCATTTACTGTCAAGTTTTTTTTAACGAGGAGGTTACTGAAATTCTGATTACGGCGAATTTCATGCACGCGACGACAACGACGACGACGACGACGACGACGACGACGACGTCGACGAGGGCAGATCAGCGGCAGGACGACGTTCAACAACGTCTTGGCACTGCTGCTATTTTACAGTCATTATCTCGGAGCGTCGAAAACGATGTCCAAACGAGTCTCGTTGTTGTTAATGACAGGATTCTTAAACAATTTACAGTGAGTATAGAACAATTATAAAAGTGTTTTTTTTATGTTTCACATTACAAGTGCCATTTGTTAATTTGCATAGTTAATTTATTTATTAGCTTTTTTTAATTCCACTGGAAGGTGAGATAGTTGAAAGTAAAGTACGTTACGGTTGTGATTCTTATTTTTTGAATGCATTTGCGTGCTTTCATGTATTTCTAAAAAATATGGATTTTTCGTTAATTCAACGAGAAAGGGACTCCATTTGAAAAGAATTATTTCATTATTCTCTTCATTATGATCTTTACACAGTGGATAAAATGCCATTAATTTAAAAATTTTCGAACGTTGTTATTGCACACAGTCGGCCAATAATAAATATTCGTAATATATAAAAACTATTGCAACAAGTGCAGATATTTCTTGTGCATTTCTTGTAAATGGTAGTAAATCTAGTTGTACAAATTTTTATCTAAATTTGTAATTAAATGTTTAGTTTCTAATACATAAGAAGTTAGGTTAGACTGTTTTATACCAAGTAAAATAGTTAACTCAATAATCAATATCTGAATTGAACAGTTGTGAAACCAATTAAATTTCTATAATATAATAACAACGACAACAATACTAATAGTAGTACTAATAATAGTAATAGTAATAGTAATAATAATAATAATAATAATAATAATAATAATAATAATAATAATAATAATAATAATAATAATAAGAAGAAGAAGAAGAAGAAGAAGAAGGAGAAGAATAGCAACAATAACAATAACTAACAATAAAAATAAAAATAACAATAACAATAACAATAATAATAATAATAATAATAATAATAATAATAATAATAATGACACACCGATGATAATTATGATGACAATAAACTATGATAAATTTAATGATGTGTCTATGTGTCTGTGTGTGGGTCTCTCTCTCTCTCTCTCTCTCTCTCTCTCTCTGTCTATATGTAAAGAAAAATAATTCTGCATTGTTAATCGCCAAAAATCATGAACATTAATAGTAAAGAAACCAAGGACAAGTGTGTTTGACGGATATATCATTCCATTCCATCTCTTTTCTCCTAATTCCAGAGTGATTTAAAAGAGTTCAAAGTCCGTTCTGCTGGGAGGGTGGGGTTAACTCTCGAGGGTTTAGTTCTTACTTTCGTTGGATCATTCCACCCGGATTTTGATAAGTCAAGTCTTTCGCGGCTTCGGTACCCACAGCCTACAGCCCTTCCGTGTTCGAGCTTCTTTATCTGGGTCGCGCAGGTAGTGTATTGTGGAGGGAGAAAAAGAAATTTCGACTGTCACTTCGATATCGATTGTGTGCTTTGTGTCCTCCTGCCTCCCTGTATCTCGATGTTCTTCTAGGCCTGTGACTACGAGAGCCAGTAGACCTTCGTACAACATAGTACGTAACTTTTTTTGTACGACGCTCGACTTTGCTCGTGGCCCTTTTCTAATATATATACATACACAACGTGTACACACGTGCACACACGCGCGTGCGCGCACACACACACACGCACGCACGCACACTCAGCCACACAACAGCACAGCATAGAACGCACAGGCATATATATATATATATATATATATATATATATATATATATATATATATTCGGCTACGCCCTTATTTCCTCATTTCGTACTGTGTAAATATCAAACCTCAGCTGTCGTGTGGCGTGAATGTGACTTTTGTGTACTGTATATAAATAATTGGTTAATCTCAAATTTACATGTCAAAAAGAAAAACACCAATATTCTTATCGAACAATTGTAATAAAAATTAACTAGTCAGTGGATTATTGATGCCTTTTTAAGGTTAGTTTGCTGTATAAAAAAAATAAATAAATAAAAAATTAAAATAATAGAATGAAATATGAATTTGGCGTGAAACATCAAAGTGCTCGAGATCGTTTTTAAGACTGTATGCAACTGCTAGTAGTGAAATGTGTATATACAGATGCTTGAGACTCCCTGAATCGATTAAAGATTACCTACGAGTTTTAGCGCACGTCATTCGTACATAGTTTTGTTTATAGACGTATCGATTTAATTTAACGACTTGTTCTGATGCAAAGGAGGATATCGTTTATTTATGATGTTAAACTTTTACGTTTACTTTTATTCTTCAGTCTTTTTACTTACTGTAGAATCTCTCAGGTATTATAAAAATATACGTTTAAAAATATCTTTTTATTTGAAAAAATCGTTTAATTTATGTACATTTTTTTCTGCTCAATATTTATAACAAAATATTAATTTAATGATGTAGATAGTTGATTGAGTTACCTTTCAATATTTGATAAATTTCATAATCTTTGATGTGCTTGACAAGTAAATTTTATAAAATTCTAAAATGTAATTTTATCTATTTTTTTTTTTTTATAATATAATAAAATAACATTTTCCTATTATTATAATAAATTTCAACATGTATATATTTTTAGAATTAAAAACAATTTGAAAACAATTAATAAATGTTGTATATATTTTATTTATATTTTCAATTAAATCAATATTTTTTATAACATTTAGGTTTTTAACTTAAAGTTATAATTACTTGTATTTAAATAAATTTATATTTTTAAATTACTACTTAAAAATATAAAATAAAGATTATGTTAACTACCTTAACAAGATGTTTTCACAAACTGTTGGAAGTAAAACCAATTTATTTTATCAATTTTGTGAATATTTATTTATTCAATAAGTATAAAAAAAATCTTTTTTTATAAAAATAAAGATTTAAAAGCAATTTAAATGAATTTGGGTTAGAAATTAATAATTTTACTAATGAAATGCTGTTGCACAAAACACATAATACGTATACAGTGTCATATGAGTTGGAATGGTGCCATTGAAATATTTGAAGTCTGAGAGAAAAATATCTTTAAAATGTAATATAGTTCAAAGTAGACTTCTTTGAATGTCTTTAAAATTTGAATGTAATGCTTTATTGGAAAAAACATGATAAAAAGTTTAAATTTAAATGATAATAACTACATACAAGTATTAAGAAGAAGTCAAACTATTAATATGTATCTCCGATCTCCATAATGTATAATTGCTTTTCTGCATTAGGCTTTAATAAAATATATTTATACACTCAAGTGGTTTAAATGGAATTTTTAACGTGATAACATTTATCCGATAGAATTTGTCTAACGCATCGTGTAAATCATGAGCTATCTATATATGTGCTATATATAAAATTACAAGTTTCTAATCGAATAACTTTCTATCAAATAAATTTTAATTTTAATATAGAAGAATATTGAAATTATTTCTGTACCAGTTTTTTACTTTTTATATCGTTTAATAATAATCAATCTTATATTAATTATTAAACTTATATTAATCTTATGTTGCTGCCTATAGTTGAGCTAAATGGAAAAAATACATTAATCATGATTTATTATATAATAATTATTTTTATGTAATGATAAATTATTACTTTTAGCAATGTAACTGCCAAAATTATATATTTAATGTAAAATTTATAGTATTATAGTTTTTTAATTAGTTTTTTCAAGTATATAAGTTATATTAATATATTAACATTTTACATTAATATACATGAGTTCCTCCTGAAATGATTTTATTAAAAACAACAGCCAATTTACAGAAATTCTAATATAGTAATTATATAGTACATATACCATACGATTAGTACAATACTAAAATAAACAATTTAATAAATGGTCAATTATTTAAAAATTGATAAATTATTTAAAATTATTTATAATTATATATTAGATTACTAATAAATTAAATATTAATTATTTATTGTAAAGATTAATGGTAAAACTAATCTTTAATGGGAGGTTTCTGCTTTTTAGACATAAATATTTTCTAGAGCTCTTGTTGTCATTTTTTATTCCTTATGAAGTCCATAATTTAAATTTATAAAGCTTACAGTTAAAGTATATCAAGGTCAATATCTGTTTTCAAATTGAACTACTTAAATTATACTACTTAAATCATAGTTTAAATATATTAAACCAAATTTGGGCACAAATATGATTATAAAAGTAAACGATTTAAATATTGTCATTATAGTTAATTAAATATATCATATTATAATTAATTATGTAGAAACTTATGTTAAAAATTCTCAACTATAGAGTAGAAATATATTTGTAAATCTAATTTTAACATGTTTATTTATTCATAAGATAAGCTAATGAATTATTTCACTTAATAAGTTAATGATATATGGAAAAAGAAAGAAGTCAAAATAAATATAAAGAAGGATATATTCAGTATATTTAAAATTTTCATGCTTTTATCTAATTACACTTGAAGCAAATTTATATAATTTCAAAACAAAAAAAAAATTAAAATTATAGTCATTTTTATTATATAATTATTTTTTCTTAATCTAAAACATATATTGTCAGATAAATATATAAAAAAATGAAACAATAAAAAATTAGTATATTAATAAATTAAAAATATAGTAGAAGTAAATTGTAGTCATAATAATAAGTCTGTATAAATGGCTTGATTTTAGAATTAATGTGAATGACACTAGGTATATTTCTTAATGATAAGAATAGTATCTCATCTCCGGAGTACTAATTTGGTCAGATTGTGAGTGGTATTTTATGCGACCAAGCTTAGTATTATGAATTTATGACTCTTATTACTAAAGACATTATCTTTTATGTCAAACAGTAAACTATAATTTTCACTGACTAATTATATTAAATATAAAAATTTTTGTGTTTTAGATGAACACTGAAACTTCAAAGGAAATAACGTAATTTGAGATTATTCATAATGCCACCGGCCTGGAAAATGGACAATCCAAATCCTTAGTTCTGCTGCCATGTTGGTCACGCAGTCTCCCTACTCTATGGACAATCCATCAAATATGTTATCAGTACTGGAGGAGGAAACCAATGTTGACATTGATGATGTCTTCCCACCACACGTTGATACTACCAACATTGTTATTCAGCCTGAGTCACCAACTAGTAAGAAGCAAACTCTCAAGACCTTCAAGGAGATCAATGTACTACTGCAGGCAGATAGATTGCGTGAGGTGAAACTTATTCTAAGGGAGAATGCATGGCCACTTAACAATGGTATCAGAACCCAGCTATGGCCAGCGTTAATAAGCCAACATGCTAAGGGCAATAACACCATGGATGGTTATTACTGGGATATGGTGAGCCAAGTTTTAGGAACTACAGGTTAGTTTGAAATTATATAGATTTACCTTATTTTACTTTTTTATTTCTATTTTTATTTATGAATAGTTTAAATTAATATATTAATTAAAATATATTACAAAATATGACAGTTACTAATTTGGCTGCTTAAATTAATTGATAAATTATATGTAAAATTTGATCGAAAAAAAATTAAAAAAAATTGATAAACAAAAATACAAAAATGATTTAAGGTTATGTTTTTATGATTTTTTTATTTAAATTTATTTAATATTATTTTTCGATGATTTACGATTTTATAGAATTACCAGAGCAATCAATTATGTTGCCACCATTTGTCGATAGTACTCACTGCTTATCGTATAACTTGACTCGCAAAGGTAGAAGTGTTGCAGACAGAATTGTATCAGTTCTAGGTTATGCATGTCCAGATATAACATACAGCCCATCACTTTATCCTATTACTGCTTTACTTCTACATTTTATGCCAGGTTTATTAAAACAATAATTGTAATTAATTTATAAAATTTTTTAATTTATTCAAATTGATTAAATGAATTTTTAATATTTTAGAGGAACAATGTTATCATTGTGTACAAAGCTTAGTGGCATCTAAGAAAAAAATGTTTATTACGCAAACAAAGCTCCTTAATGAAGTAACATGGAAAACTGTAGAACAAATTACAAAGAAACATGTGGTATGTATTTATTATGTAACTGCATTTGTAATTTTAAGAAAAAGTGAGAATTATCTATGAAAAAACATTTTTAACAAATTACAAATTTTTTTTCAACTACGGCTACATTTCTACAAAATTTTATTATTTTTAATCAATGTTTTATCAATTTGCTTTAATTACAGAAATCTGCTGCAGTTCATTTAGCTCGACACTGTTCGGTATCAAGAGCAGAAAGAATCTATATGGACTGGATCTGGTGGATTTTACATCTGCTTCCATTTCAACATCTAGTCAGAGTTATGGACTGTTTTCTACATGAAGGCATTAAAGTTAGTAAATGAAGTTAAAAATTCAACTTAAAAGTTATATCACTATAAAGAATAGAAGTTTCATAAAATATCAGAACATTTAGTAATCAATGATATAACTTTTTAGGTCTTCTACAGGGTAGCTATGGCTATCATTTTATTATTCTATAAACATTCGTCATCACAAACTTCAGAATGGATGGCTGAAATTACAAAGAATGGTATAGATGCAGCCCTTTCAAAGTTTTGCAGGCAGATACCGGTATATATAGTTTTTTATTTTTACTTATATAAGAAGCTACTAATTTTACTTAATATATAATGTTATAATCCATCTATAGATTTATAATTTTTTTTCTTTCTCAATTGAAATAATTTAGTATTTTTATCATTGATTATAGGTGACACCAGCAAAGTTTCTGCGTACTGCATTTGGTATTCGTGGATTGAGTTCGGCATACATATCAAGAGTATTCATTAGCATTGAAATGAATTTGAAAAGCCGAAATGTGATATCAGCATCCAAATCATTAGTAAAATCACGGTCAACCGATACACTGCCAACAAGTCAATCGCAAATGAACATTCAAATGATGTCCCACACCCTCACAATAAGAGAGGTAAGTGAACTAGCATTAACAGATTCCTAAATAATAGTGCTATCTTTTTATTTTGAGAAAAATTATTTTATTTTTGAATATTAATATATGAAAATATATAATAAAAACTATGAGTACTAACGTAAAAACATGTATAATTTGTTTTAATTACATTATTTGAATACAAATTGTTTCTTTTAGATACGAATGTTTTAACTAGCAATTTCTCTTTATATCTTTCTTTTTCTCCATCCTATTTTCTCTTTTTCCAAAAAGACAGTAACAATGGTGCAGGGCTAATATGATATCAAAATATCATATTTTAACAAACTTGGTTTTTGTGTAAGATCTATGGTTGCTTAATCATTTGCAATATAGAATATTTGTACTACCTATATATATTATATACAATCGTTGAGAAACGCCATTAATTTTTCCACTTTGTTACATAGTGAATCAATTAAGAAACAAGTTCGAAGATTACTTTTTAAATATTGAATTAGACAAAAAAACAACTTTTAAACGCCTGAAAAGTACAGAAGATTTTTTCAATGATTCACTTTGTTTTCAGAAAGAATGTGAAGACACGTACAAAGACAGGGTATTGTATAATTATCTTTTTGGACAATGTGCCGTTCGTTTCATGTGCTACCTTTTTTCTCCTCCATAAAACTACTACTCGAGTTACACTTACATGTACTCTCATTCATCACGACACTATATAGCGTCGTCGGCTTTTATCGCTGTTACCATATGCGCCACATGCAACTGCTGCTCTCATTTTTTCAGCGAGTGGTATTAATATTCATAATCAATTTTTGTAGTGTTACTTGTTTGCATTATTAATCATAATTTTGGTAAAATATTTTATTAAAGATAATTCAATATCGAAAAACAAAATCTTTCATATTTATAAATTAATTATAGAAACTTAGTTTCTTAGTTTTAATTAAAAAGTAAAAAGTTAATGCAACAGTTAATTAAATTCTGGTCAATAAATTTTTTTAATGGTATTGAATTTACTTAAGGAATTTTATAATATAAACACACAATTATTATCTTTTAATGTTAATTTAATTAAATTTTTTAATTAAAAAAAAATATTTCTTAAAAGTAATAATATTTAATTATACGGGATATTCTATTAAGTTAAAGTAACTCACATTAATGTAGAAAACAAAGATTAGAAATATTTAGTTGGCCTTTAGTTTTATTAAATTATGATTTTATATTTGGTAAGGTAATCTTGAATCGAACATAAATTGATATACACTTTGAGTACAACGACATGTTTTAAAAATTACTTGACTGTTAATTTTTTATCTTTAACGAACATAAAATAATTAGTTAGTAGTTTTTAGGGTTCTTCCATTAATATAGAATTCTGGCAGTTTTTATCCAAATTGTTCGTCAAGTTCTTTAGGTTTGTATAAAAAGATATGAGTATACACATAAATATTTTTAGGTATATACGGGTAATTAATCGATCTCTAAAATCTTTGGTAATTAATTTATTGTCACTCTGATTTGAAAGAAAATCATGAAACAGAAAATTTTTTAGAATTTTCATACGTAATTCATGTCTTTTATCATACTTTCTTGACAAATTCGAAAATATTGAAAGTTATGAATTCATGCATTACATAAAATTTTTTGCTTGCGCATGCATAACCTCGACTAATATATTTATTAAATAGAGACGTATATAAATAGTAGTCCATAAATCTTTCTAACAATGATTTTCTTTCTGTGAATAACAGTCATGTTTCGAATATAATTGAAAATGACTCACATTATTACTTCAACTTAATTATGATGCATGGTAGCTTCTGATTCTATATATTTGCTTATCTTTGTTATTTGTTCTCGATTTTAAACGTTCGCAGAAAAATTGCGTTATATTAATTATCAATCTGTGCTCTTCAGACAATTATACAAGTACTAATTGAAAAAATATAGTATACACTGTTTGGAATTAAAACATTTTTTTAGTGCTACCGCTAAAAAAAGAATTCGACATAGAATGAACCTATCAGAAACATATGAATCTTTTTTTGTTTGACAAAATCAATTTGCGTTAGTCTAAAATTAGATTTTTATACAAAAAATATTTATCTTAGGATTAAATTTTTTATATGTATGCATTGATTTTCCTTTGAACTTTGGATCTTACGAAAATATCTTAAAATATTATGAATTATTTAAATTTTTAATTATTAAAATTATTAAATTTTGATTAAATTCATTAATCTTGTTAATGGAAATTTACTTATCTATACATTGTTATGGCAGATTTACATATTTTATTTTATTTAGTATAAGTTGTAGAAAAAAATGTTTATTTCAAGAAATTTTACACAATATTAATCAAAGTTTTACAAGCAGTAAGTAACTTTTTGCTTTATATTTTATTAATTGATTATGTTCATTTTTTTCTATTTAAACATATTTCATGTTTATTTATTACTAAGTATTATTTACAAATAAATTAATTAGTTTCCTTTTATCTCAATTTTTCATTCAGTATATTTTTAATTAAAGTCATTAATATTTTTAAAGGAAATTGTGTAACATAATGTATATAAAAAATATCTTATAATTGATATTTTAATAATGTATACACTATATATAATATATATGTATATATGATTAAAAATTTGTTTTTTACATTAATATTTTATTTACAAGAAATGTTTCTTATCCTGTTCCATCCTTTATCTTACCTACACCAACGTTATTTTGCGGAACTACTATTTTTTTCTCGTTATTAACACATTTTATTCAATTTGCTATTATAAAATAAATGAAAAATAAATTCATTAGTATACGTATGTATATAAATCAAAACTATTTATAGTTTCTATAATAAATCGTCGGCTAATGATTACTGATCGACAGGCCATGGTATAGTAATATTTTCAAATATTAATTTGTATTGTTAATTTATCTTTTAATACTCACTCGAAATAGCTCGAAATAAATAACTAAATAAAAAGTGTAAAGAAAATTTTATATCTTTGTTTCCATTTGTTTTATTTTTCAAAGGTTCAATGTTTTCTTTGAAAGAAAACTTGAATGAAATAGCGTGAGGGTGAGAGAGAGAGAGAGAGAGAGAGAGAGAGAGAGAGAGAGCGTGTGTGTGTGTATGCGTGTGTGTGCGAGAGAGAGAGAGAATAGATAGGAAAGAAAGAGTGAAAAAGGAAAGAGAAAATTTCATCGTTTACCTAAATTCATAGCTTCGTATGTTATCTTTGTGTTTGCGCTGCATTCTCCATGGATTCGACATTCATCGCATGATGGATTGCAATTATGATGGGTATCAATGTAAATAGGGCGCACATAGTCCTGGACCACGGGCTCTTTCAATGGGCGTTTATCCTATACAAAGCATACGCTCTCAGATACTTGATATGCCCGACGTAAGTACCTGGATATGGTCAACAGTATCCTGCCACATTTGCTGATTTGTTCGTTTCTTTTTGTATATACCATTTTTATTTTATCACTTATTCATTACCTTTTGTATTTATTTGTAGGTGACTTCGACGTGCCTGTGGCATGTGAATTTATTATAGTACAATTTATAATTATTTTTATTTACAATATTTATTTTCAATGATCTACTTATACATATACATATATATATATGAAATGCCATGAAATATTTAATATTATTTAAACTGTTGCCATTGCTGCTTTTGCTGCGTTATATTAAATTAATAGACATTTGTTATCATTAGTGTATAGCTTCAGTCTGATACTAAATAATAATAAAAATAATAGCAAGTAATATAAGTTCATTAAGAGAAATTTGTAAAAAAATATTAAAGTATATATTGTTTATATTTTTGATTTTTTCTATCTTTTTATTTTTTTATTGTATTTTATTAAAATTTTTACTTTCTGGTTATTTAATATTTATTAGCCTCATTTTTTTAGTATTGAAACATCATATTTATATTAAAAAGATTAATATACAATATTTCAAGAATAAATTTATGTGTTAATTTATATATATATATACATACATACATATATATATATATATATATATATATATATATATATATATATATACAGTAAACGAAGTCGATTTTGGCAATGTTAATTGATTTTTCTGTTCAATTCATATTTGAAGATACTTTATAAACCGCAATTACATTAATGATGAAAAGTGTAATAATATACTAAATACTATTATATTATTTTTCAATGATTATTCAATATAATATCAATGATTGATATTTTTATAACGATATTATTTTTATCTTCCTCTTAGGTAATTAGTTTGTAAACGATAATCTATTACAATATTTTATAGTTATGTTTATACTTATATTTGTAATGATAGGGAAACGTATAATTTTGTTTTAGAAAAGATTTAGAAAATAAACAGATTCATCTAAATTTCAACAAAATTGATACTGCGCATGAGATAAAGTATCTCTTAATTACAATTTGTACATTAGTAAATAGATACAGTGAAGGTACAGTTTTCTTAAGCAATATAAGTTAAATAGCTTTAGGTTAAATAACTATGTATTTAAATTTTTTGGGGTAATCAACTTTTATATAAATACATGTAGAAAAAATTAATTATGTGTATATATCATTAAATATCAATTTATATCATTGAATTTCAGAGACTTTTTTTTGCTATAGCTGTTGCTAAAATTATTCTATTTAATGTAATTGTTGCTAATTTGTCACTATTGCTATCAAAGACAAATATCATACATATGCATGTATATATTTAATAAAAATATTAAAATATTTTTTCTATACCAAATTCATTATATTTGTGCATCTTTGTGTAGTTCATTTTTTTAATAATTCATTTCAGTTTTTTGTTATGTTCCTCAGCTTTGAGTGTTATTTAAATGTATGTATTTTTAGCATGAAGTTGCACGTACAAACTGTATTGATTGCCAGCATGATTTTTTATTATATATAAAGTACTTTCCTAATTTAACTTATATTTCGTTCAGAGTATGAGTAAGTAGTATAGTATATACGAAGTGGTATTCAATTTATTAACACTGCAAATATTAACAAGTATTTATATATTTTTTTGTATTTTTAATATAATTTGTAATAACAAAAACTAATTATAATATTTGTAAAATATATTTATGTATATTCATTTTTAAATCATTATCATTATTTCTATTTATCATGTTATATTGACACATAAAAGAAAACTTTGTTTTTATTTATATAAATTATATAAATTGTACTGGATCCAATTTTATTTTAGAATTATCAAGTAAAAGAAAATAACGAGTCTTTATAAAATATATATTTATATACAAACACACTTATATGCTACCTCACAGCAATTTATAAGTTTGGCCTTATACTTCGCTTTTCAGTTCGGGTGTAATTATTTTTGAATATATGTTGAACTTTATGTCAATTTTTTTTAAATATTTGCAATTTCTTAAAATTAAATAGAAAATAATTTACGATACACAACGAAAGCATTTATCAAGCAACTTTAAAATTACTATGGAGTTTTCGGTTTGAATTCTGTATTTAGTGTGAAAGAGATCGAAATAATTTTATTTTGCCATATTAATATATACTTTAAATCTTTTCACAAGATTTGAAAAATTGCTTAAAAATTTATTATATGACATACAGATTTTCATACATTCGAAGTTCTGCTCAAGCGCCGCATGATTTGTAATGTGGATTATTATGGATCGATGTTGAATTAATTATTTTGTTATTCAAAATAAGCATTAATTCGAGATAAACATCTTTCAATAACCGAGATTCTAATAAAAAGAGCTATAATAACAAAATAGAAATTTACAATAATACGTCGTAATGAGCGAATGAGATATAATATTTTTCTTATGGATCTTTACTTATCGGCAGTTATTTACATTGTGGTCCTGGTTACCGGTGCGAATTACGATGTATCAGCCAATTTTGCTGTATACCACCGAGGAGCATGGCTGTTCTCTCACCACTTTCTACGTACGTGTAGAGAAATACGAACCCACCCTCCTCATGATTAAGACGTGTAATAATGAGGTAAGCTTGCTTACTGTGATTTGTAATACAAATATTAACTAATTCTGTCACTGTGTTTCCGGACAAAATATTCACCTTACTACATACTATTATTGCATACTATAAAAATATGTTGCATATAAAGTATTGCAAATTTGAATTTAGGCAATTGCCCTAGATAAGATAGTAGCGTACAGTTGACGCGTTAGGTCGTGCAATGAAATTCGGTATTGCTATTTTATTATTGTATTTATAGATGCCTAATAAAAAATTAAAAAAAAAACAATAATATTAACAATAATACAAATGTATGCTATATTTGAAGGTATTTGGAGCATATTGTTCAACAAGGTGGTGCGAAAGAAATTTGAAGGACGACAAAGGACAAAGACAGGCGTATTTTGGGACGGGAGAAACATTCCTGTTTAGTTTATATCCAGAGCGAGCCAAGTATCCTTGGGTCGGTATGGATTCATCACACAATGATTCCAGGGTCCATCATTCGGCAGAACTTTTTATGGCCGCTGATTCGAAAATGATTACTATTGGTGGCGGGTAGGTTATTCAAAGTTTTTATTTTTAGGAAGTCTTAACTTGTTCAAGGACTTAATTTATCAAGGTATAGCTGTAGAGGGTTTTTAATTAATATTTTAAATAAATGTTGGTAAATGCAATTAATTTTAAAGGATTCAAGATAGCCATAATTCTGTATAATTGTAATTATGGTTTGAAATTTGTTATCAAACACATGTAATAAAATAAAAATGAATAAGGTACAAGTCAACAGTACAATTAATAATTTAAGTTTGATTTGTATAGAGTCTTCTATAAGGATTGCTCGCCTTATACATAGTTTATTGTAATTTTGATTATTAATTAGTCATTAATACAAACCTTATTTATACAAGTTTGATAATAATATCCTTCAAATATGTTTTAATATTAATTTAAAGTAAGTACTAGTAAGTTCAATAAGTTAAATAGTTTTAAGTTTTTTTTTTACAATTTAGTATACTAGTATAAAATGAAGACTAAGAAAAAATATTTATTCATTCAGAGATGGTCAAGCAATTTGGATGGACGAGAATATAAGGTTTGGCAAGACCGACCGCTGCTCAACGTTCAATAATCCACCTCTGTGTGCTAGTGGTGATTTCGAAATTAGAGTCCTTGAAGTTTATGGTTTTCATGGGGCCTAGAAAAATGCCAGTAGCGGTTCCAAGAAATATTCATTTCCCTAACTGCCATTTATTGTCTCTCTTTCTGCCTGTCTCTCTTGCGCTCCTTTATCTTATTCTCTTGTCCATTATCCGTTACTCTTTTACTTTATAAAATTTCTTCCTCATTTGATTATTCCTCTTTATTGTCAAATTTTGTTTATCAGTGTTAGAATTTTTGCTGTTTGAAGGAGAGTGTAGAATAATGCTCTTAAAATCTTGTTGCTTAAAAATAATATTATCAATATACGTGATTGTCGTTAATTAGTCCATTCATACACTCATACAAATATATATATATATATATATATATATATATATATATGCATATTATACACTTGCATAATCAGCGCATGAAAATATAAATAGGAAAAATTTCGTCATGTAGTGCATCTCATTCCGACAAAACTCTTCTACAATACGAATTTATTTGTCTTGCAAGACCGGATTTCGTTGAGCTCTTCATCAAGATCATAATTGTTAAACTATAACCATTGTTTTGATACTGACTTAATTATTTATTTATCGAATCATAGGAAATGTTTATGGCATTTTTTTTATTAATTAAAAGTACAAAATTGTAATTATTAAAAATATATTAACATATTAATAGTGATTATTATCAAACATCTATCAACAGAATAGTAATATACTTAAATGCATTATCTACTATAAATGTAAGATAAGAAGATAACAAGTAAACATAATTAATAGGAAGAGAAAACAAAGCGGTCATTACACTATATTTCAAGATGAATACTGCAGCAGCTTACATCATACACGTAAAATTTTGACAATAATAATTCTTGAACTGCTAGATCGAATTATTAAAAATTCTCAATTTGGTATTCTTTTTCTAAATAATTAACGATTTAAGAACATAACTCAATGCGACTACTTAAGATTCATTGGACCAGAAGAAAGTAACATTATACATTACACATCTTGTATATATTATTTAATTATGTCTATTTATAAGTTTAAGATTATATTAATGTTTGTACAAATGTGTTTTTTCATAACATTTATTTAATTTAGAATTGTTATGTCTAGCTTTAATACGCTGTTAGAAAGAAGTAAAAGTTTGTTTTTATATAACACGCTCTATCTCTGTATATATTATAAATATATATAATTCAAAACGAGTAGTTAGCGTATCTATCAGACAAATTGTGATTGGCAGCCTACATTGGCTCGTAAACCTGTGGAAAAAAAGATTAATTGAATATCTTTTTTACAACATCATAACTCTTCCAGGCTTTATATCAATTCGCTGTTGAAATACAAATATTTTCGCATACCTTTTATTCTCGTTATATATGTATTACTCAGATATTTTTCAGAAGTGGCTGGCACCACGTAGTAAAAATGATCTTATTCCCACATTTTTGAGTGAGCTAGCGTGGAATTTAAAAGTGCATGTGTGTTTTCTTCCTTCTAATACACATGTGAATACACAATATTTGATGGTAAAAATATTTCTTGATTTAAAATATTTAAAACAATATTAATAAAGATAATTTGTCATATATTTAAATGTCGTATTATGACAGAGTAAATGGAATGACTGCAACTGTAAATGATTATACTATTAAAATAATTAACAAACTGTTTTATTTGCCTAAAATGTAGTTTGTATAAAGACTTTGACATTGTTCAAGTGGTATTATTTTAGAAATATTTTTACCAAAACGCGCAAGTCGTGCGTGCATACATACACTCACATAGCTACGATTAAAACAAATAAGAAAGTAGAGTGATTGAGAAAAAAAACCACGAATGATTATCTATACATTTTACAATGTGTGCGCGCATTTTCATAATGTACAAAGTACACAATGTACAAGATTATATACGCTATTAGATTATTAATTATAGATGTTATGTAATTAAAAATGGAATTAAACAATCGCCTCAAAGACACCTAAGTACGTTTGACGAAAATAAGTAGGCATTTTTCTCCTAAGGACGTAATAAAAGGAGAGAGCATAATACGTGCGTATCGATGCATATCAAAATCACTGAATGTGAAATGAATTTTACGTTTTTCTGTAATTTTTTTTATTAATCTTTTTAAAAGTGAGTTAACTGTATTTCATCTACCACATTCAATCAGATTAGTAAGATAGCTCATTTACAAAAATGGAAGAAATATTTTACGTAAGCTTATGTTTAAATTATTTTGTTAAGTAATGTTACTACATCAAAGAACTTTACTTGCCGTCTTTGGTGCTCTTTCAATAGCGCTGGATTAACCCTTATTTATTTATTTTGTATATTATATAGTCAACCAAGTATGTTTTTTATTTTTCTAATAAACTATAAATAAAAATGTACAGAAATAAAAATTCAATCATTTAACTTTTTTTTTTTAATTTGATAGAATGATGTAAATTTATAAATTTTCAAATGAATGTGACAAACAGAAAATGGGTTTTTCAAATTAATGAAAAGTACTAGTATGTATTCCCAATTTTTGATAAATTTGTTCAATTAAAAAACACGTTTTTAATTATTAATTATGTATTAGATGTCGTAGAGTATATAAAAGTAAAACTAAAATTTCGTTTAGTTATGCTTATCACAAGTGATACGTAAGAGCGCTATTAATGATCAACAAACTAAACTGAGTTTTTTGACATCGTTATATTATTGATTTGTAACTTTCTTGTTGTACAGTTCTAGCATTTAATATTTGTTGTTCTTTCGAATACAAGAGCTGCTACTGCTTACTTTAATATAAATTTTGTATATACTAGATATTTTAAAAAGTTATTTATTGTGTATTTTCAAGTTTTTAAGTGAAAGTATTATTTTTTTTTATAACAAAGTTCACAGAAGGTAAAGTAACAATTTTTTTTTACATTGCCTATTATTATTCTCGATCGTCTTATTAGTTTTTCTAAGATACAAAATATTTATTAACATGGTATGGATATTTTAGTGACGTTGAATGTGTGAATTGTCTATTGTAAATTATATTTATAAAAATAAGATTTATGTTTGCAAAAGTATTCAAGATTAGCTCTTGTAATCGAGAGTCAGTGATTTATTTAACGCTGATAAATGTGCACACCATATATGTTTCAAAGTTGTAAAATGCTATTTTCAAGCATGCTTTATAAATAAAAAGATTCACGCAGAATCAAGTGTCAAAATGAGTAGAAGAATATTTATAAGGATAGATTTGTAGTATTAATTTTATAAAAATTTGAAAAAAAAACTAATTGCTCAACAATAGCATATAGATAATGGAAAGTTTTAGTCGGAAGCCTAAAAATATAACTTTCATATTTCTAAAACGACAGACTGCAAATATTATTAATCTTATTTGAAAAATAAATAAAAAATATAAAAAGTAGAACTCATTGGTAATGATTGTGGATATAGTTGAATTTTAGTTTTTTTAATAATAAAATTTTGACTATAAATAATAAATGATACCGTCAATTGTATTTGCAATGTTTAATAAAAATAATTTACGTCACAATTTGTTAAACATCTAACAGCGAATTGAGGATCGAAATAATATAGTTTGTCTAAGTAGGGTATAATGTATCTCCGACGAACACTTAATGAAAAAATTATACAGTTGACCTCGAAATACGTTAGGTGCGACAAACTTGAATTTATGAATAGAAATATATGCATTACTTTTGAGGGGGTTTAAAGTATACAGAAGTATATAGCTTTATTTACAAAAAAAAAAAAGAAATAACGTAGATAAAAAAGGTATTATATATGAAATAAATTTGCTGTATGTGTGTATGCGTGTGTGTATGTGTATGAACAAAAAGAGGTGGGTGGGTAATACGTGCACGTATGCGTGCATGTATGCGTATGAATACATTTGCATCATAAACTTGAAAGGGAAAATATAGGACATGGAATGGAATGTTTTTAATGCTTTTTGTGTAGAAATTAATGTTATATTATCACCAGTTGTACTGTTTCTTCGATCAAAGTTGTTGCCTGATTATTATTAATACTTATTATAATAATTATATGATATACATTACCGTCATATCATCGTCGTTGTCATAGATATAGATTATTAAATGATTAAATACAATTCTTGTTAAATCAACGACTCATAATTAATTTCACCATAAATGCATGTATGCCACCTTTTTTTATTTTTGATAATGATACTTTATAAATATCTTTATAAATGAACTTTAAATGTTTTTAATTATAAATAAATAGTTTTGTGCCTTTTAATAAGTTAAAATTAGTTATATAAAATGATTAATTATTAATATATAAAAGATATTTATAAAGTTTAATATTTGTGTTTTTATCATACTTCCATATGTCCTTATGAAAAAAACAATTTCTTTATGTTAGTATACATCGATTTTATAATTCGGAATACAGTTTTTATTACTCCATTATAATTAGTATTTATATATTAAATTTTATTTTGATATAAATTGCTCATCTGGTCAAAATTATGCAGTATTAAATTAATTATGAAATAAAATTATCAAAAAGAATCTATGACATCTAAATATAATGAAAAAATTCATAGTGGTTTTTGGCCTACATAAATTCACATTAATATTATTATTAAATTTTATGTTATTCATTCAACATTTCAAATGAACCCGTGCGTGATTTATACGGTATTTATATGAATAAAAATTATACTGAGCATTTAACCGGGAACTTTGAAAATTAACTTTAAATTTTACGGGCTTATTAAAATTATTAATAGAATAGAGTTTTATAAGTTGACCGCGTTTGGCATTTATCAACTAATATCTATAAGTTTTTCAGATTCTAGTTTAATAATTATACTTTTTATGTCGGTCAAATGAGATCTGACTGATAGAAATAAAAGTAAATACAATATGTTTGTAACAATATTTGAAATGATTAATATTTGTAGTTTTAGGTTAAATAAGCATATTTTAATTTATGAAAATATATTTTAAAAAAATTTTTTATTTCATTTCTCCAGTGCATTATTAAAAAAATGAGCTGTATATCATTTTAGTGAAAAATTCACACGGGGTATCTTTAAATACATAATATTTTGACATTGTATTTTAGCATTTTATTCCAAGTTCTTTATATGAATATTTATATTAATTTTATATATTAATGTTACAAAAATATCTTATATCTTAAGATATTATTAAGCTTTAAAAGATTATGCAGTTATTATATATCGAATTCATACATCAAAATATTTAAAAATATAATAAACGCAAGCTGGATTTTTTCGAAAAGTAGTTTAATGAAGTTCTGATAAAACTTGTATATGTAGTACTGATATAATCATGATTATAAAAGAGAAATCTTGAAATTATATTGATCTACAATTTAAATAATTCGAAATGCATTGAATATAACTTTTTATTTTACTTTTATATAATATATGTATTTTATTGCATTATATTATTAACGCTTTATATTATTAGTACTGAAAATATACAATCGAAACAAGTTGGAAAAAGGCTGTTTACAAAAATAGTATCATCAATACATATAGTTTTTCTTTAAAGTCTGTTTTATTTTCTTTTAAGCTTTTTATTCTTTGCAATTAAAATTGTTTATCTTTTTATTAAAATAACTCAATAAAATGTGTGCGATTCGCTAGTTCTGATATTAATAAAAATTATAAAGAATTAAATAATGTATTGCAATAATTATTGTATGAAGATTAATAATACTTAAAATATTTTGCTACTTCAACGTACCATAAAATGAAATATCTTAGGCTTCTTGCCTATTATCTTGTCAAGTAAACAGCTAGGCCTAGAGAAAATCAATTAAAAACAAATGACTAACTGTAAAATTTCATTATAGCTTTACTGCAATTGAAAAAATAAAGGATTTTCTGTAAAGTAATATAAATAATTATTATTCCACTAATAAATAGTAAACATATAATTAACGTTTGATTAAGTAAAATTATATTAAAGCCTCGCCATTGAAAAAGTAGAATTTTAAGAAATGATATTCAAACTTAGATAGTAGTGCTTAATTTGTACGCTACGCTGATAAAACAAACATTAATATATTACAGATGATTGATGTCGCAATTCATAGTATTGGTATAACGCAATAAAATCAGACATCAATATTAAATAAAAAAAAAGTATATATATGTGTCAGCGTAAAAAGTCATTATGTAAATGCTTGGAAAACATTGGATTAATAATGTTATAAAAGTGTGAGATGGTACTTACTATTTATTTTCTTATTTGTGGAGTTAGCCATTTGCTACTTACATGATTATACTTGAAATTTTATGCTCATAATTGAAAACATTGTTAAATAGAAACCTTTATGTATAATGTTTAAAATCTGTAGATTTTTACAATTATAAATAAGTGTTAAAAATGTCTTTATTTAAATAAAAATGTAATTATTTGCTAGAATAGAATAAAATTTAGGCTCTTTCTACTCTTAAATTTATCTCCTAAAATCAATATTTTTATTTAAAAAATAATCATAATTGTGAAATTTAAAACATTAAATGCTAAATAATTTCATTGATATTAGTTTGTTAACTTTAAACGTGTTTTCTTTGACAAAAAAGACATAAATTTTAATTAAATAATACATTGTAAATATGTTATTAGAATATATCACTAATTATTTCACTAGATTATAGCATTAATACTCCTTAAAAATTTAAAAAAAAGTAGATTTATAACAAATTATTTTTTAATCATCATTGCATGGATTATAAACTATTTTATATATTTTACAAATTTGATGAGTTATAAGATTGAAATATATTCGAATTTAAAATAATCAGTAGGTCTGATTTATACTATTATCTTTATTAATTTAGACAAATAAGAATTAAATGTTAAACAAAGCACATTAGAGAATTAGATTATTTAAAAAATTTTTATTATGTTTTTTTTATTTAGAACATTATTTTATAAAATATATTTAATTACTGTTTATAAATTAATTAATAAGTATATTATAATTGTATTATTCCTGAAATTTCGATTTTTAATAATTTTAAACTATTTTAAGTATATTATTTGATGAAGACTATTTGTGAGTATGTGCATAGGTAGTATATATATTTTTTTGTATATATTAAAGATTTAGTAAAAATATCAAAACCTATAAATTTAGTAAACGTATAGATTTAGTAAAAATATCAAAATGTATAAATTTCTATTTGTAGATAATTGTTTTTATACATAGATTACAAATTCAATAAGCATAACTAAACATTATAAATTATGAGAAGTTATATATCTTATATATTACATCACTTTATATAAATATGAAATATTTATTTTAAATATTTAATAGATAATTTCAACAATAGAGATATTTTATCTATACATCAATAAATAATATATTAATATTAATCAAACAATTGAATGTTTTGTTTTATTATTTAATGAATTATTTATATAGTATATGTATTGTTTAATACACGGATATATTTAATGAAACTGGATTTTTAAAATGTGAAATTTCTTTTCTTGAAGTATTTATAAATATTTATAAAACAATAGAACTACAGTAATTAAAAAAATTCTTTTACTGTTTTTTTGGCTTAAAAAAATTAATATTTTACTTTCTTTTTCTACGTGTTATAATCATATAATGTTATTGTTTAAATATTCATAATGAACTTCCGTGTAATCGTTATAAGCGCACACTTGTGTTTTCGATTCATTAAACATTATCGATTAATTAATTTCCAGATTAATTATTTATGTCAAATACTAGAAAAGTGTTTTGAAAGCTTTTTAATTGAGTAGAGCAATTAAAATGGATACATTAAATACATATTAAAATATTTCAATTTAACAGATGCAATGGATCGATTATTTTAGAAATATTAAGATAAATATTAATTGAGTTGTATTCATAGAAATATATTTGATAATTTTTTGAAATATATAAATTTAATAATATAAACTGTTAACATTGCAATATTTTTAACTTATATATATTAATTTTTAAAGATTGTAAATAGAATAATTTTAAATAGTCTTTTAAACTCAATTATAAGTAGACATAATTTTTTTACATAATGACGTTCTTAAACAGAATTACAATTAAATTGAATTAAATGAAATGAAATAAGTTTTATCAGACCATCAAATTTTTTAATGTGGTTCAGTTAAATTAGATTTTTAAGCGCATTAATTATTTAATCACACAATTATTTATTTTTTTTATCTTAAAAAATTATAATAATCTGTTTCCGTATATTAAGATATTCATTTAAAATAACTAAAATTGTAGATTTACATAATTCGTACTAAATGAGCGTAACAATAAATAGTACAATTAATTGTAGAAATATATTATCTTTATTTAAGAATTTCAAATAAGAAAAACTCACATTTCATAGATTTTTATCTTTTATGAATATAAGTACATATAACCGTTAATATTACGTATTATTATGTGGTCAACCGCAAAATTATATTTCTTGCATTATACATAGTTTTAATAAATCTGATATATTATGTATCGAAATTAGACTTTACAATTTCTATTAAAAAGTAATATATAATCATATAATTTCGAGCTAAATAAATAATTATATCACATTTAATGCTTATTAAAATTCTTTATTAAAAATCTTACAAATAAAAACTTGTATTACGAAAAATAATTACTTCTTGAATTATTTCTAGATTTATTATATTTTTTTTTGTAATAGGGAAAATCGAATTTATCAAATGTTTTATTCAATTAGTGTTTTTTATGTTTATCATTTCAGATAATATATATTTTGGATAATTTAAATTCTTTTCAATAACAGTAGAATAAAAATAAGGCAATTAATTTAATTTGAATCAATATATTTATAATTGAATAGACTATTTTTTAATCATTCTTTCCACGTTTTTTTATCACATTGAATCATATAAAGAGTACAGAAAATTAACGACTACAAAGAAGAAAAATTGAATTGTGTAATAATAATAAAACAATCAATATCTCCTTCTAATTCAATACATACGCGGCAAAAGACAATGAAATTAGTATCGAAGCTTACGTAACCTCAATATATGCTCGGATTATTGGACTGTAAAGAAATATGAATTACCTTTATCATTCGAGCAAAAAAAGAGACTTGATACCAGCATTTTATAAATTAAAAAAAAAAATCATTATTTTAAACCATTGAAAATACATTCCATTTCACCAGTAATAGCATAACATGAATAATTAATATTAGCCACATTAAAATAGTTTCATTTATTATAATGGATATTAAATGTTAAGTATAATTCATCTATCTTCATTAGATATCAATTTTTCATGAGTTTACGCATACCCGTAATTGATGGAAATTATAGATGGAGGTTGAGGCTAGTGCCGGAAATTTTAATAGTTGGGTCAACGATGCATAATTAACAATATCAGTAAGCCAGATAAGACATTTGCCAACTATTTCCGCGGGCGTTTTATTGTACGTGTGCGTTCGTTATACGACGAGGTGACATTCGATAAGAGTACGTGGGGCTCGGAAACAAATAAACATAAGCTTCGTGGGCTATTAGTATGAGGTGCTGGCCGTGTAGGTTGAAGGACGAAGACGAGGACGAGGACGCAGCGGTAGCGAGGTGTCGCTGCGGTGAGCCACTGATGGTGAGAGGTCGTGATCTGCTCTCCGGACTTCCGGGAGACGGGCAGTCCGCAGTCTTCTCCTTGCTGTGGCGATCGGCACTACCTCGGGTCCCCGTGATTCCTTTGTCAAACTGCCCAAGCGCCGAAATGCGTTGTGTGCTCCTACTTTTTTTCTATTACGAGTAAGTTGCTGGGATGTGGGATTCTCAAATGTTTGAGTGATATGTGCATAGAGGTGCAATTAGTTTAATTCTTTCATTATCAATTCACACTTTTTCTAAACACACATGCACACACACACTATTCATGATTTTCGGTATTGTTCAATTTCTACGATGAGAACACGTGCTAAAATTATATCTTTGACTTTCAAGTACCATTGATAAAGTTTTTTACGCAGTGATTACGACTGGGCTGTATTGTCTTTTTTAAATTCAATAGACTTATAACTGGACATGAACATAATGTACGTATTTTTTTTTTATAATTGACAGCCTTTCTAACGTACAAAAGAAAATAAAAGAGAAGAAATAGTGGTTAAATGCGTAGACATAAAAATGTAACCAAATAATTAATATTTAATAAACACAGATTATAAATTATTTTATATTTTTGATAAATCTATTAAAAAATATTGATTATAAATAGGTACTTTAGCTATAATTTAATATGTTTCCCTACGCCATTTTTAGAAAGAAATTTTAATAATGTTTTTGTACTTAATGTTGAAATAATTAAACAATATTTAATATTTCATATTGATATTGGTAATATTTTTTTAAATGAATGATACAATTAACATAATTTTCTTATATATTATTTGTACATCTATTTTTTTTATATATCACATTCGTTAAAAATAGCATTTATCAAATAGATTTCTATTATAATTAATAAATAATAATTTAGGTAATTATAAAAATTTGATATTTATTTTTCTCATTATATCATTCATTTAAAAATGATTACAAATTATTATTACAAATTATTATTACAAAATAAACTTAGATATTATTCAATAGTTACATTACATTTTTAAATTTATTAATATGAAATTTTAAAGCATTTACCTTTCAACATGCACGATAAGATACTTTATCTTACTAAACAAAGATTATTTATTGATTAATTAAGATATTATGCTTATTTTTAGTATCGTTATGTGTTAACAAAAATCAATTTTCAATTAGTATAATTGAAAATAAATTATTTAAGTATAAAGCTTGAAATTAATTCTGTAACATTTTATTATTTGGTACAATTAATAAAGTAAAACTATTAACTTTGCCCAAATATTTAATATAATAAAAGAATATCTAGATATAAAGTTCACATCTATATAATTGATTATTTTTAATACAATTGAAATATAATTAAAATATTGTCGACATTTTAAGAGTAAAATTATTTATTTTAATTATTCATATTATAGAATGTTAACGTAATTTTTTAAATTAAAAATTTCCGTAATCAATAAAATATTCTTCTATTAAGTTTCTATGAAACAATGATATTAAAAATTGTATTAAATAAAAAAAATGTAAGCTTAAAATAAAATACAATTAATTTTTGTACTAATAGTGATTGTACAGCATAAACATGATAGAAGTCTATGTTGCTAGGTTAATGCGACAGTGAAGTTTTATCGAAACTCTTATGCAATCTTTACAGAGTCATACTAAAAATTTACATTTAGCAGTACTAGTGTCTTACATGACAAAAACATAATAATATACGCAACCACCATATTTTTACTTTTACTATTTAAGCGCAACATAAATAAGGAAGTTATTTAATAAACTGACGTTAATTAAAATTTGAATAATTTATATTGTGTACTTATGCCGTAAATGTATGGAAACAAATAAAACTTAATATTTGCGAATAGCATATGGTTTTTACTTTTATCTTTTCACATCGTACCACGGTACTCTATTTTAAGTAGAGAATAGTTGAACATGTATGTATCAAGAAAATTAAGTAAGAGTATTCAACTGTTAATACTACGTCCTCATTTATTAAATAGGCATTCATATCAATAGTAGCACAGATTCTAATGAAGTTCGAGAGAAGTAGAGAAGTGAACCTTGCAATAAATGGATCAATCAGGTTCCTCGAGACTGTCGAACCTACAAGTGCGAACGGAGGAAACACGCAGCTTCCGTAGGGGAAGTCTTGCAGCAAACCTAATCGGCCTCGGAGGACATCCAGATGCTTTCGATGTTGCTCGACGCAGATTAAGCAATGTCAGCGATGTCGTTTCTCGAAAAATATCGCGAACTATCGGATGGCGCTCCTTATCAGTTTCCGTGGAGCTTACGGTTTCACAGGTACATTATTTTATAATTTATATATATATATATATATATATATATATATATTATACACGCGTGCTTAAATTACACGCACAGACACACACACAACTTTTATTTATAATAAAATACTCATAGAAAATGGTCTATTTTTATTTCTGATTATTACATTTTATGTATTCATAAATCAATATCTGATTATTATATTTATCATAATAAATATTTCAGCTTAAAATAAAGTTACAAACTAGAACTATAAAAAACATGTGAATTTGAATAAAAACATTCTTAGCAGAAATTATTTTTTTTACAAATTTCTTGAATTAATATGTAATTTTCATCATCTTTAGTATAGATTTGTACGCGCTAATAAAAATATTATTTATTTAATAGAAATATTTGTGTGATATAAATAAATATACAAATTATATACATGTATATGTATATATATATATATATATATACACAAATTTTTATTAATAGTAGATATATAATAAAAAATAATTAAATGATGCTTAAAATTAAATAATAATTAAATATGTTCAGGTAAATGATTAATCTACATTGTGCATTTCATTCGGAGCCTCTGCAAATTTATCTGAGAATTTATATTTTAAGAATATGTAATTCGTCTAGATAATCGTCAAAGATATTTCATCGTTTTTTATTTATTTATTAATAAAATAATTAAAATATCTTATTCTATGTTTGTAAAGCGCTTACAAAAGTTTAGACAGAAATTGAAGTAATTTTGTAGCACTAATAAGTTTCCTTACTTTTTTTAATTCGAAAATCTTATTTATTTAGAATTTTTAATATTTTATTTAATTAAGTAGTTTTATTTTTATTTAAAAATATCTGTATACAAATAATGAAAATTGAATATATAACATTGATTTCAAATTTATCTTATTTTTAATGAAATAATTTTTATTAAATATCTTATATGTTAAAAATTTAAATAATAAATATTACATATTACATAATAAAAATAAAACTGTTGTCTGTTATCGCCATTTCTTGGCTAAGAAGTTCTGATCAGCCTTTGTATTCTAGACATACTGATTTTAAATCATACGCATTCCTTCACGAACAAATTTTATTTCTTTTTGATCGACATTTACATCGGTTTAATCACACACACTTATGACAGCAGTAAAATAAGCTGTCTTATATTTGTATATAAATAATTTTATTTCTATCGCTTCTATTTGAATTTCGAATTTGTACTTGACCAAATTTTTCATTTCAAAGAAATTTTTAACATAAAAAATTATTACAAATTCATTAATACGGTATACAGACCTTCAGTAATAAAAAGTTAAATTGTAAGAAAGTAATTTATCAGCTAATTTTTATATTTTATTAGTACATATTTTAGTAACATGTATTTTATGTGGTTATGAATTTTTAAATTCATTAATTCTATTACCATTTAATGTATAGCTTATGTATTGATATTCTTGTATAACAATATGCTGTCTCAATATTAACAAAAATTTATAATAATGATTACAAAATTAGTACCTTCGTAAACATAAATTAGTATATACGAGAAAAAAAGGAAACGATAATAAGTTTTTTAATAAATCTGCATATTGGATAAGAAAAATGAAATAGGAATGATTATATGCAGTAACTAAACGTAAACAAGTTGTTGACGTCAATAAATATACAATAACGCGTCATCCTTCGTAATACTTGTATTTTCCTTAGTATTCAACTAAAAATTAGGTTCAAATATTAAATAAAAATATAATCAAAGTTTTAAAGTTCTATATAAATTATATATACATTCTATCATAATTTTTCTCAATGATTTATTTGAATGTAAAGATTAAATAAAGATCTAATAACGAAATTATTTAGTCAAACATTTATTTTTGTAAGCTATACTATATTTATAGAATATACATTAAAGTGTCTATAGAAAATATTAATTGCATACATACAAATTGAATTTAAATAAGGCATAATAAATTCGAAATAACAATCACAAAATTAAATTTTTTACTTTAATACAGATCTTGTAGATATAGTCAAATAATGTTATTATAAATATTATTAATTATGTTTAAATAATAAATTTTCAGTTAATAAATATCAATAAATATATATAATTAACAGTAAAATAATTTTCTAGCGATATGTATATTTTTTAATTGACAATATATATATTAAAATATAAATATTATGTTATATATAAATATATATATTAGAATAAAATTTAAAGCAACAGAATTAAAGATAATATGAAAATGTTATGTTTCTGAAGAAAAGATAAATAATTTTGTGAACAATACATTTTTCATTACTTTAAAAAAAAAAAAAAAAGGAAAAGAAAAGAAAAAAAATTCCAATAACGTTTGTTAATAACGTAAAGTTAAAAATAGAAATAATTATTAATATTTATATAAATTGAACATCGTTCCGAAATTACGAAGGAAATGATATATACTTCAAACACGGAAACAAATTTTTCGAATGTTTTCATACGGAAATAAAATTAATATATGATATCCATAAAAAAATTAAACTTCTACTCTTACAAACAGAAAAATTTTATGAATTTACAGTATAAAATTTTTACAAAAATATATTAAAATAGAATTTTTATACTATAAATTAAAGTTATATAATATATATAATATATAATAATATATAATTATATAAGTTATATTATATATAAATTAAAAAAATTTTAATGTAATAACATAAAGTTAAATAACGATTTTTAGATATGAAAGTTTAATTAATTCAACCAGTGATAAATAATAAATTAGTACATAAATCTTAAATTAATTTAAAAGATCTATAAGATGTGTGTGTATATATATATATATATATATATATATATATATATATATGTGTGTTTTTTTTTTTAAACGAATCATATATATCTATATACATACAATTCTATATATATGTTCGTAAATCCGTTCGTAAAAACTGATTTACTTTTAATTTTTAATAAGCAAATATGTCACAATATATTTACTTTGTTAGTTCTATAATTTAATTTTTTAAGATAAAAAAATTATCAAATTATTATGTCAAATTGAAAAAAAATTGTATTTTATATTATTTTTCTTTGATTAGTAGCTTAATAATAAAATAATTTTCACTCAATGACATTTGGAATTTTAGTCATTTGGTATGTAGTATGTACTATTTCTCAGAGGACTCGGAAGTCATATTAAACTTTACATTTTTATTATTGTATTTATAAAATTAATACAAATAATAGTATCTTGTAATCTAGAACGTAATCATTTAAATATTGTTTATAGCAAAATATGAAACTATTTAATATAACATAATATTAATTCAAGTATATGTTTTACTTTTAGTTATAACATTTTATTTTTAGTTATAAAAGTTTATATAATTGATATTGAAAATACATAAATCATAGTGGTGGGCAGAAAAGCAAAGTTTTGGCTTATATTACTTTTGTCATAAAAGTTCATTTAAATTTTTATAAAATATGCATTTTTATTATTTGATTTTATCGTATGTGAATTTGTACGGAACCACTAGATTTTAATATATAAAGTAAAATATTGACAAATCATCATTGTTCATTCCTTGGCGCTACATCGGCGTAGAAAAGTAGATGACCCGCAATATAATTGCTCGACAATTCGACAGGGCACATCATTGTGTGCGCAATACATGCGCAACCGACTTAAGCGCTCGGGTATTTTCCGACGGAAGCTCGGCCTAAAGCGGATGCGGAGCGCGAAACTCCTGTCCGGCGGTGCCTTGGTCGCTGAAGTTTACCCAGAGCTTGCGGCCGTGGGCACTGAGCTCGAGAGAATGCATCCGAAGTTGTTCGAGAGGGTCGGTCGGCAGATCGGTTGTGGCGCCTTTAGGAGCGAGCAGCGGGTGACTGAGGCCTTGACCGATGTCGCTCGGGAGATGCTCAGGACTGGAGAATGCAGCTGGGAGAAAATCGTCGCCCTGTACGCGATTGCCGGAGGCATGGCCGTCGACTGCGTCAGACAGGGAAAACCGGAGTTTCTCGTTACCATACAGCGAGCCATGGCGATGGTGCTCGAAGAAGACCTCGCTGCGTGGATTCAGGCCAACGGTGGATGGGTCCGTCTTCTTATTCTATTGTTTTTCCTCTTCTCATTATCTTAGAGTCGCGCCTGTAATCTACCAGATTTTTAATACAATCCCAGACGTGACAATTTTTAATTTTATTATAATCGTAACACCTCTTGCCGTAAAATGCTTTCAATAAATATTTCTACTATATCAAATAACATACAATACTGTCCGAAGTATCTCACGAGCAATGAATCTGGTTTGCTTTGCAGTTTTTCATATATATTTCGTATTTGTAATATATCCAACTATTTGTCGTGAAATTTATATTTTCTTATTCTAATATAATAATCAGTCAATGTAGATTTGCACACATGCATTTTAAAGCAACTCTTACAATAATTGAAGTCATTTCATATATTTAAAAATTTTTTTATTCGTTAATATTTAAATTGAAGCTCATTCCTTACGTAAAAGATTATATTTTTTATATAATTTTTTTCCTATATTTCATTAAATGTAGATAATTTTTGTGTATTGATATTTGTACTAACTTTAATACTTAACTTTTAATTGTAATATTTTCATTTATAAAAATTTCTTAAATATAAAAATTGTTTTAAATTGTTTTGCATATTTATGACATTCTTTAATGATATTTTATTAGTTATTCATCTTCATGGAATCCGTGTAAGAAAATTCATTTGCTTTGTTGAATTTCTTATTATTTATAATATAAAAGCATTTTTTAATATAAAGATTACAAAATATTTAGTACGTGTATAAAATATAATGTGAATTTGTAATATTTTAAGTACAAATTTTGTATATTTGATAAATTACATGAATGAAATATTATTTCAGAATGCTTTGATTATACGGTACAGACCAGTGCTAAAACAAATAGGATGGCAAACTAATACAGTAATTTTATTCATCGCCATAACAACAATATTTATCAGCATTCTTTCAACATCAATCAGGATATTTTTATTGTAATAAAATTATTTACTACGATAAAGAAACATATGTTTTAGGAAATTTACATGTTTCCACCAATATTTATATTATATTTGTATATAATGTATTTTATTTAATGACGTAAAATTACACACAAAATTTTTAATATAAAAAAAGTATGTTACATTAAAAAAATATAATCTATTAAATAAAAATGTTATTACTAAAATTTACTTTTACGAAAATAAATTTTATTTCAGAAAAATGTATCAGTTCATTTAACGTATTAAGCCTCATGTACTAAATTATAAAGAATATGAGAATACGTGAAATGAGATTGAGATTGAGGTAATAAATAGCATTTCATTATAAATTGAACTGCTTATCCTGTTTATGGACAATTTTTATCATCTATTCAATGAACTAATATTTCAACATTTCCATTTATTTACTCGCATTAAAATGAAGCATAATCGATACTAAAAGATATAATTACCTTGGAATATTTGTAAGTACTTATTATAAAATGTAATGTTGATTCCGCATATAAAAATAACGAATAATAAAAGTATTTAAATTATTTTTGCTCCGTTTTCTATCGAAGAGGATACAAAAGTTATTGTGTTTTGTCTAAATCTTTTGTGACTTTATTAAATAAGGACAAATTGAAATAAATAAAAAATTATGAGGTTTGGCATGATTTTTGTAAAATTATATCTAATAATCTCTCCATATGGTAAATCCACCTGACCTTTTAGCTTTAGCAAATGACATAATAATTTTTATTTTCATAAAGTAGAAATTATAATAATAAACAAGATATTTTAATGTACTTATAGGTATAGAAATTTCGAATAACAAATCATCTCAAGATCATTTTTTAATGCATATGATACTTTCATGAATAATATAATATATCACAAAAAATATATTAATCCAATAAATATAAGATATAATAATAGACATAATATTATAAATAATTTTCAGTATTTTACGATACTTTAATAGGCGAATGACATTATCGATTATTCATAATATCAGAGAATCATATTTATTGATGTATAGATATAAATATTTAAGTTTTTACTATTAAAAAATTATTATTTTTAATAATTTAAATAATAATACTTTTTGTTTTCAATATAATCTAGAGTAAAAGGAATTCATTGCAAATTTACTACGGATTTAATGAAAGTTAAAGACTCATAAATGCTCGTGTATAAGTCTGGATCAGTTTTTTTACTTTTGTACGAAAAAATGCCAATAACTTTACCACTGCTAATTAATGGTCCACCGAGATCACCCTGTAAAAGAATATTAAAATAGTATAATGCATATGAATCACTAACAAAATATTTGCATTATTATTATTAGTATCATCATTTACAAAGAATAATATAAAAATGTAATTGCCGTCATGTTTATTTAGTCAGCTATATCATTATGAAAATACTTACGGGAGATGGGCCACTTCCTTTAGATTTAAAAGCGCATAATTGTCCGTCATGAACAACATATTTAACAAGATTCGAGCATGCTGAAGCATGGACTACAGTCATTGAAGCTTTTGCTAGTGGGTCGGGAGGCGTATTTGACTTATAGGTAGACATGCCCCAACCAGCAATAATTGCAGCATCATTTTTATGAACAGAGTTTGTTGAAATTTCAACTTTTTTTTGTTTGTCTTTGAAAGTAATTTCCTTTTCAAGCTAGAATATAAAAAAATTATTAAATAAATTTCACTGTTATTCAAATAATATTTGACAAATAAAGAATATTGTAGTACGTAAATCTATTTCATAAAATATCCTTAAGGTACGTATACCTTTTAATAATTCATTTTTGAAATTATGAATAAACATTGAAATAAATGACATTGTTTTGGCTTCTTATTTTCATAAAATAAAAAAAGTATTTATGGAAATATTATAAATATTAAAATTAATCTTCTAAAAGTAAGGAAAGGAATCATGTAGATTTTATTTGTTAATAAATTTCAAGAGAAAATGAAAATTCATTCAGAAATACATAAATGTATAGATATAGATTTTATATATAAACTTTGAAGGAAAAAAATAAAATTTCATATTTATCTAATTAGAAATAAGAATGATTTGCTATTTAATCACTTTCAATTAAGTTTTAATCGATATTAAATTAAAAGGGTTTTAATGATAATTATTGGATTATACATGTAACAGTCAATATACTAAGTTATCAAACAATGAGAAAATGGAGAGAATCTTATTTTAATATACCATTAGAAATTCATAAGAAGAATCACTTTTTTTTTTTAAGTACATGGAGACTGATTATAAATTAGCATCGACAGCATGTAGTGTACATTTATAACAAGTTCCAGGAGTGTGTTTTTTATAACAGTCTTTTCTTACAGTAAGATTTAAATACTTAATCACATATACATCTAATAAAACATATCACATCTAAACAAATATGTGGATAATTTCCAATCCTTAATCTTTTAGAATAAAGTCAGAGTAAGGCATTTAAATACATTTACTTACGGATATCCAACAATTATTAATAATGAAAATAATTATATTTCAGAATAATCGAATTACTTTTAAAGATATTTTGAAATGATTTAAGTATGTATTTCGATGATTTTGATTTTGTTGAAATGGCTATTAGGAATGTAAGAAAGTTATATAATGATTATCTTTCAATACATCATTATATTTGTACTATAACCTACCGTAAGTACAGCGATATTTTTCAATAAAACAGCTTTATCCGATATATTTCCTGTGAATTCAGGATGAACAGAAAGTATTTTAATCTTATACACTTCACCTTGACCATTCGGTTCATCAGTTCCCACGACGACGATCATGTCAGGGAACTTGACATTTTGATCCACGACACAATGAGCCGCCGTGATAATATGAAGCGAATGTATGATTGCACCAGTGCAGAATTGCTGGTTAGTCTTCCGGAATCTGAGCGTTGCAAGAAATGGGAATTCGTATATAGTTGCGTTTTGTGTATCAAAATTGTTGGAAAAACCTGTTAAAATTTCAGTTACTATGATGAATTTCCATGTATATTTTTATTATGTATATCATAAATAATCAGTATTCCAATTTTCTTGATTTAAAATCTTTTCGGATCATTATTATTTTATATTTCTATAATTGTTTCTTCATCATTTATTCAAAAAAATCTTTTGATAAGCTATAGTCACTACACGAGAGCACATTCATAGCATTATTCACATCCATAGCAGCTTTAATCGCTTTGTGACAGACTTTCGTTACACTGTAGCACTTTTTCAGAACAGAGCATTACAGTTCGACCTGGTTTGTTTAGAAGTTATTCGATAAAATTCAAAAAGTTTATTTACATTCTTTATTTCAATCTTTTTCTTACTGTATTTTCTAAAAAATTATGTTAAAGCTCCTGAGTTAAATGAAGTAAGGCAAAATATTTTATGAAATTCGCCAACTAAAGTACAAAGTCAATGGTTGAGAAAAGTTGAGATAGGAACTGCGGGTATAATCATTATTATAATAATACAAATATTTGTCAGTTATTTTAAACAGTTATATTTAAATAATTAATTAAAAATATATATAAAAAAAAAATCTATAATGTGCGATGATATGATTAATGATATCGATGAATTAAAAAACTGTAATTTATCTTTCTCATCATTTAAACAAATAAGTTTCAAATTTATTTAGTTAAATATAATTCATTCAACTCTTCCATTTGCTTCATTAATAATATTATACATTAAATTTTGTATACCAAATCAAAATATATTTTATAGTTTAAAAACATACATACATATATACAATAATTCGGAGAAGATCAAAAGTAATGTAAATAATATTGAACACTTCATTTTTTAAACTTTCTATTATTTTTCTTACTATATTAGTGTTTTTAATACAAAAAAGCATTCTAATGTAAAAATAAGAATTAAAAGGTCGTGTATAAAAGATAACTTTGTTTTTTATTTTATATTTTGTTATTCAAATGTTATTTTATCGATAACAGAATTATTACATTGTTATGTATTAAAGTTCATCGTTTTATTCATAACTTTATATTTGTTACGTTTGCCTAGAAATAATAAATAATTAAATTCTTAATTACATTTGATTATGAACAGTGTCAATATGGAATATATATGATATAAACAATACTATATAATAAAGATATATAATGATATATAATTATTAACTGTTAATGGACGAGGATTATTATTTTATTAAGTTTTTAATAGAATTTTTATATAAAGGTTAATTTTTAAAATATTAAAGTCATCAAAAAATGACCTTTTATACAAAAATATACAAGTACTTGTAAATGCACATACAATTAAATTAATATTATAAATAACACTTAATGCAATAATCACAATAATTATGTGTCTATTAACAGTTAATATTTATCATTTACAAAAATATAGTATGTAAGTATAAAATAAGAACTATAAGTATTAATTAAAATAAACTGTATTAATTATTAAGTAATTTTATTGGCAACGATGAATTATAATTATTTGCATTGAGAAACATTAAGACATCAATTAATTATTGACTTAAAATAACATTACATGAAGTTTATAGTTAATTTTGAAATAAAAAGTTTTAGATTTTTATAGATAACATCTATTTTTTAATTGGATTAATTAATCTTCTTATATTATACTTTACTTCTATATATACAAATTTTAAAGTAAAGACTGAAACGACAAAAAAAAATAAAAATGAATAATTTAAGTATTTATTTATAGTGGGTTCGTCCATATTCAATAGTCTTCTTGATATTTATGATACATTAATTTATAGTTTAAAGTTTTTCATTTTACAATAAAAAAAAGTTATAAGCATTTTAAATAATACTTGTGTAAATGTATATTTAGAATAGTACAATATTTTATTTATTTTCTAATTTTTGTATTTATTTATATGCAAAACAGATTATTTACAATGAAGTAAACATAAGCTTTTATAAAATGATAAATATTATTCACACAACAGACCAAGTTAGTAAGATTGAAAATGTATATTTAAAAACACTAAGTCGAATGGAATTGTAATGTCTATAATCTTTTTTTTACGAAAAAAAACTTTTAAATGACTGAAAAAATTTGTATACCCAAAATGTATTAAAAAAAAAACAAATTATATTATATTATAGAATCTTAACGTATAATCTTAGTAATGAATAAATTATAATTTATGTAATATTTTATATAGTGAATTAGTTAGTTTCACCATACATTATATGTAAATATTTATTTCATTTACAAGTAATAATCTATATTTTTCTATAATGAATAGATCATAATAAAAAATTACATATTACATTCATTATATATTATCTATCATTAATTTTCAATCGCATTGATTAATAATAATATAATATTTATGATATCTTAAATTATAATTTTACAATTACAAGTTTTATTGATAGGAATAGAATTTGAGTAATTTTTAAAGGAGTCATATAATTTTTAAAATAAAAAAAGATATTTTCATTTTAATTGACTATTAAAGTATGCTACAACAACCATAAACGTTAAAATACATTATTACACAATTTAATTATATTTTTTTAAACCGTTCAAAATTATCACAAAAAACTACTTAAAATATTAAACGTTATTTTATTTAAATTAAAAAAAAAAACAAGAAAAATTTTTTTTTAAATATTTTTAAATTACCAAAATTTGTTATTTAATTTTTCTTACCTTTCAAGATTTTTAAAGTATTAATATTTTACTATATTTCTATCAAATCATTCATTATTAATTACTAATGATAAAATAATGTGTAAAAAATATTACAATATTAGTCTGCAAAGTATTAGTCAGTTTGAGGCTTCTGATTAATAAAGTGACGAGTCATTAATTATTAATTAGTAACGTGGTTATTGTTTAAAACATCTATCAGGGATCCTTCTCTTTTCATTGTGAATAGCATTGAAAAATGAAGTATATTATTCTTCGCATGTAGTTATGTTTTGAGCTTCAATACTATTATCCATTTCATGATGCATAAGTTCTTCCTTTTCTCTTTCCTGTTCCTTCATATTTTCTCGGAGATCCTTCAAAAAAATGTTACCATTTAAACTATTATTTTATATTTATTTATAATATTTATTTTAATAAGTATAAAAGTTTAGATATTATAATACCCTTTTTGCTGCTTGACTTTTTATTATGTTTGTTTGAACAGTGAGAAAGGTTTGATTAACTTCTTTTTTATCAAGAATTTCAAGATACCGACGACGCGAGTCCAATACTTCTCGTACTAGCTTTTTGTGTTTTATTGCAAGTTCTAAAGCTCTATTCCAGTTGTACATTTCAATATTGATTTTGATTGCTTCAACCGTGAGTCCATTTTGCAAGAGAATACCTTCCGCTGCCTGTAAATCACCGGCTAGAAGAGCCGTTTGTGACAATCTCTCCAGTTCATTAGGTAGTTTCTATGAAATGTTAAAAATAAAATTTTCTAATTATTCATATTTATTGTGTATACTATATTATTAATTAATTATTATTTAACAATAAATAGAAAAGACAACTATAGCATAAATAATTTCAATTCATTTCAATATTTCCTTTTTGTACAAATATGCCAAACTTTGTCTATAAATATCCCGCTGTATTAATATTTGATTATAATATTAATATTTTAATAAAAATAACTATATTATCAAATGTTATTGTAATGTTATATTTTATCATTAAATAGAGGATAATATTTTCTCCAGTCGCTGATACGATTTCATAGAGATGCTTTTTGTTTAATTCAAAAGAATGATAATTTCAAAGAATTTTAACAATAATAAATTTATAACTTATAATTTATAATTTATAATATACATTATTAAATAAATTTCGAATATAATATATTTACAAAATCAAATAAAATTTTAATTAAATAATTAAGAATTCTATGTAACTAAATCCTATTATCAATATTCTTTTAATAGATTCTTGATTTATTAAAGATCTATCTATTAAAGACTATTACAATATTAAATTAGGAAAACTTAAATTCTTATCATCAATTCTCTTATTTTTTTCTCTCATCTCTCAGTTCCGTATTATTAGATTTTAACATCAAGCACACATTAGATTAAGTGAATTACAAATATAAACAATTAATAAAACTATTTCATTGAAATTATTCATTATAACATTATTCATGTACATATCAACTAGTCATCGATTAAAATTATGATATGAAAACAAGAAATCAATTAAAATTATATTACCAATTAATAAAACAAAATAAGTTGAAGTCATACTTAGTCTGTTTCTCGAATGACGACAATAAATTGAATGTAAAATGTCAGTCCATTTTGAATTTTTTATATTAATAGATTGTACAAGAGACTTTGATATTTTTATATTGTTTATTTATGTATAATATGCCTGTGCATGCTCGTGCGTACATATATATTTATCATATTCCTATTATTTTCAACACTAATAATCATAATCAATTTAATGATAATAAAGCTCGTGTAGAAAACTATCTTCTAGTTTCAGAGAAAACTATTTCTTGTATTATAAAACGGCTCTCGCCAATAACATAAATGTTTTTGTAAATATATATATTTTCACCTGAGTAGTGAATTATTCTCTATTTTTAGATTAATTAAAAAATTAATTGGGTTACATTAAATTAAATGAAGAGTGACACGTGATTATCCAAATAATAAATAACTATCGTTTTTGTACCGTACATGCCTTTCCTTTGACCACTTAATTTTTAAAAGATGAAAGTTTAATGAACAATTGCAGTATAATTCCATAAGTACTCATCCATTAAAAATTGACTAATTTATTAATAAAAAATAATTTTCTTTTTAATTTAAAATTTTTTTAACATAATTTCCGTGATATTATTATTCAACACAATTATAGAAAAAATGTGCTTAATATTTTATGAATGGTACCTTTATGTAACAGATATAATCAACTTTATCGTATCTACCAATAGCTGCACAAGCCTCTTCTGCTATATTTAATTGTTTGCCGTCAATAGCCATCACTGCTATACAAGTCCATAAGGTTTCATTCTAAAACCATGTATTAATATAAAGTTTTATATATTATGCAATATATACGGCATAATAAATAATAATGTAAAGTATGAGGGCTCCAATTATATTTAACTATATAACAATTATATAAAACTATAAATACAAATAATACAGTTTACATTTTATTTTGAAGAAGGCAAAATTTTATTAAATAAAGAGAATTAATATATATTTAATGAAATTATACTATATTGAAAATACTATATTTTTTTACAAACTGTAGACACACAGATAGATTATGAGGACAAATTTTGTGATTTCTAATTGTGATTTAGTAATTCATTAGAGAATAAATTAAATATAAAAATATGTGTAAAATGGAAAAAATTGATTAGTAACTGAAAATTTATTAAAACAGTTACAATGTTTGATTGGCTAATTGTATACGAGTATCCAATAAAAAAATAAAACCTGAACTATTCGGCATAAAGAAACTGCTTCTTCCCAGCGTCCATTTAAAATATGCTGATGTAGACTAGTAAAGAATGTATAAAAAGATGAAATAATTAAAGCTCCATCACCGCGTCTTACAGTTACTAGACCATTCTGAACGTTTACGATGGTTGGATATTTACCAAATTCACTGAAAGGACATATAAATTTTTATTTCAGTACGAATTTTAGATTTGTCTGTTTTTAGGCGTAATATTTATAACATACTCTAATAATTTTTTATTTAAATTTCCAAAGAAAATTATTTAATTCCCTTGAAAAACTAATTTTTGAAATTAATATTATTATTCTATCTCATTTTACCTAACAATCACATATATTTCTATAAAAGGAATTTTTTTTCAATTCCCAATTAAAACAAGAAAAAATTCATTGGCAATGTTAAGATTTGTTTTTAAATTTTCCAGTACAATTGTTATTAAATGATAATGTATAAGTTGGCATTTTTCGTGCTAAAAATTTACCTGCTATCTTTATCCACACGAGTCTTTCGTATAATTTTACGATCGCTATAATGAACACAATTTGGACAAAGCCACACTGACAAGGTCGCATCTAGCATCGCAGCCAAGACATTAGCATCGATAGCCCAAGCGATATTCAGTGCCATTGCAGCTAAAAAGATAATTTAGACATTAAATGCATTCGTTAAAGGTAATTTCGTTGTTCAATATTAGAATAGAAAGGATTAAAAATTTTTCAGTGACTATAATGTGTGATGTGTATAATGTAAGGTGATTTTACAAATCAAGAGCTGTTTTTACTCTTTGTCAATTTATAATTCGTGTATAATGCTTTATAATTTTAAATCGTTCATCCTTCTATTAAAATTAATTATCATTATGTTTCCTAGCATATTTATGCATATTAATAATTTCAAATAATAATATTAATATTAATATATTTAAAAATAATATTCTAACATTATGAATTCGATATAACTTCGTTTTAAGTATTATTTATTTATTATAACGATTTTAAAATTTGAATATCATCTGTTAATTAAGCTAATAATTGTTTAAAATTACCCATCTTCAAATTTACCTATTTTACATAAACGTCCAAATCCGCTAGTTCTTATAGAAATTAAAAATAAATTTTTATTTTCATCGATCAACGCAAGTTGTCGATCGTTAACTCCACCAACGTAATTCAGAGCTAAAGAGGAAATATTTTGAATGTGCGTGTATGGTTGTCCTTCAGCGATAGGTTTTTTTTGAGATATCTCTAAAACATGCAAAACTAACAAAATACATTATTACTTCATTTTATTAAATTATATTCTAAATCATGTCAGTGTTATTTCATTACATTTGGTATTATTGATATATTGATAGAAATAGTGGAAGTTTTACAAAATTATATTCCAATAGATTTGCATTTAATAATTATTATTTTTTGGAATGCGATGCAAAAATGTGACATTACATTTGGTTATATTAATCTAGGATTTCCAAAAAAAAAAAAAATAACAACTTGAAAATGTTATTTCGTGGTAAGACGTTAGTTTCAAATAATGTAAATGTATAAAAATAAAAAATAAATTTAGCAAAATGGAATGGATGATTACCTTTATGATTGCTTTGATTACGAACAACAAGTGTATCGACAGAGATTGAAATACAAGGCGGATAAAGAGGTTCTTGAACCATTCCTTTCCACTTTGGGGCACCTAAAAATCGACCCTGATAACTATGCAGCGATAAAAGGCTTCCCTCGACTAATAAAAAATGCCTAAATAAGTTGTAAGAAAATTAATTTTTTTAATGTTAACTTTTTGCTTCTCCTTCGTCATTTTAAGAACTATCAAGAGAAATATTAACATTGAATGAGTCGAAATTTACATTATTTTAATAACATTATATTTTAACATCGAAACGGATAAATTGATAAATTATATACCATATATATGATATCGTTTTAGCAAATCAATAAAATATTTGATAATTTGGTAATGATTATATTATTAATTAAGTTTCAAATGAAATTTTCTTCAATATGTAATATGTTGAATATGTAGTTTTCTTCAATATGTAATACATTTCCATGTAATATCTGGATATTCTTACTTATCTGTAAGTAAAACAGCTGTAACAGAGCCATTTTTCAAATCGAATATGGCGGGTGTATTCCAATTCTTGACGGAATATATATGACATTGACTCGGAGTTATTACGACTAAATGGTCAAAACCAAATTCTAATTGTACCACTCGATCTGCTATGTCTAAGATTTCATTGACGTCACTGCCTACCTGAGTTACTTGAATCGTCTTACGTTTAACAAGATTTGCTTCAAATCCATTATACTCCAGTTTTCTCAGAAACAAAGACAAAATTTTTTTTGCTTTATAATTAATCGTATTTTTAGATTAAAAATTATTTTATTAATTATTTTGAAGGCTGTAATTTCAAAATTGCACATATTAATGTACGCGCATGAATAATTCAATAAATTTGCAGAGTTTTATTTTAGTATAATACAAAAATTAGTTAACCAGCTATTGGTACATTATTATAATTATCATTATCTTTATTGTTAATGAATTTATACCAAATAATATAAAAACTAAACTTCTACTAAAACGTATAATGCTTCTTCAATTTTTGTTATCATTTACGTTAAATATTAAGACAAAAATGTTTTTACATGTCGGAGAGAAAAATTAGCCTTGCATACGCTAAGTATAATTTTGTATCCATTACGGGAGAGACATACTAGCAATAATCAGTAGCAAAAATATTTAAAACTGTGGAATTTTTTAATTGCATCAATAAAATAATGTCCATATCATTTTTATAATTAGGGGTGGGGGGTGGGGGGGGGTGTGTGAAAAATGGTGCTTACTTCTCGATAATGTGAGCGACGAGAACGCTGCCGTCGCTACATGCTAGTGCTACTTGAGTGCTGTCGCTCGACCAGGCAATGCTGTAAATACTGCCAACTTGAATTTTGTCAAGTGAATGTGACCACTGTGCAATTATAAAGAACGAATTGTGATTAAACCGCATTATTTGAGGAAAGTCCGAATGCTCGGTATGCCGTGTAAATATACATACCCCAGTCTTATCACAGAGCTTGAGGGTGTTAAAGGAACCGACGGTCACATAGTTACCGGACAAGCACCAATTTACAGCTGTTATGGGATAATCACCGACGACGCTCGCATACAATAGGTTGCCGTTGGTATCCCAAATCTAAAATTCACAACTCCTTTAATCCTAAAATAATTTTAGGTTCTATGAGGATAAGAACTTATAGCCATTAGGACATAAAGTGCATTGATACAATTGAAAAATCATTATTTTAAATGGTGTTTGCAGTTATATCACTCCTGCTGTTCATTGCTGTATATTCAAGTAAGTTAATTATGAATGATGGAAATTTTTGTTGATTTATTTATGAAATTAACAAAAGCTTACCTTATGACGGCAATCTTCTCCTCCAGAAATAATGAGACCGTGAAACTGATTCCAAGATATAACGAGTATTAAACCTTCGTGTGCTTGCCACTGAAATATTAAATAATGCTTATACGAAATATATTTAACAAATCATGGATTATTTAAATACATACAATATCTCATTTGCTAATTGATTATTGATTATTCATTATTTTATATTAAAAGTCATAGAAGCTATTTTATTCTTAAGAAAAGTAGAACAAAATTTCAATTTACTTTTTGCGGTTTGGAACTAATTGTCAAGGATTGTATAAGCAAATAAGGTCCTTGGGAGTACAAAATCGAAGAATTATCGGAACTCCATGCCGCGGCAAGTATGGGCTGATTGCATCGTATAACAGTAGATCGCAGCATACCACTTCGAGACCAAACTTTTATTATACCATCTTCACCAGCTAAAATAAATATAATAATAATTATTTAAGTTTCTTCAATTTAGTAAATTATATAGAATACAATACGGAGTACTCTTTTTCAATTTTTTTTTTTTTTAATTGAAATAACCTGTAAATAAAGCTGAACCGTCGTAACTCCACTTTCCAGAAATTGTTGCACCATTATGGGCAGAAATAGATTTCTCTATTCTTCCATTTTTACTGACCAAATGAAATTTACCTTAAAGCAAGAAAGGGATGTAAAGTATGATAAAATTTCATTTAGATTGTACATCATATTATTTATTTTACAGTAAAAAGGTATTTTCGTTAAACATTGTTCAGTTTTCAATAAGATATTTCGAAGTATCTTTATATAAATTTTAAGCGTGGAAAATCGTTTGTTTATATTTCTACTAAAGAATTGCAATTTACCATCCGTTGTTGTTATCAATAGGACATCAATTGCTTGTTTTTTTACTGCACCTAAATTTGTTTGAGCAGGTCGAGGATGCCATTGCATATCCGTAGGATAAAAATCCTCTGGAAATTCTGTCACAATTTTGGAGTTTATCGTTCCACCCTCGAATTTCCAAGACATTAAGAAGTGATCGTCGCTGAGATCAATTATAATATTATATACATAAAATTTAAATATTATATTAAAAAATAACAATCACTTAAAACAATAATGCATAAATGTATGAATAATAAATTATAAGTAATAATACGATTTATAAGCAATAATTTGTCAATTCAACAATATATATATATATATATACTTTTTAAGTTTTATTAATACAAAATTATTAAATCTATTTATTAGATTTTTTTTGTAAATATTAAGCATTGTAATCAAATCATATATTCATAATTATTATATATAATATTTATATTTTAGAAATATTTCCAACATTTTAATAATAATGCAATTTCAAATATAGTTTTTGTAGTGTTTTTTTACACATTAGAAATTTATAAATATATATTGCTTATTCATACATATTTATTTATATACTGATCTTGTATTTTCAATTATTAACATCAATTTCTCCATCAATTTAAAATACTAAGATGTACTAACCCACAGGAAAAAATTTCGTCAGATGCAATCCAGGCGACGCAAGTGACGGTTTTCTTATGTCGATTGGACCCTTGTTGAGATATTTTAAATCTCATTTCAGAAATTATTATGGATACTTTACACTTTAAACACTATAAGACACGATGTAAAAAACACGTGAGTAAGTTTACTAAGTTAAAAAACTATTTATAATTATACTTAGATTATCATTGTTCAAATGAATCTTATTGTTGCTATAGAAACGTGAGATTCACAACAGAAACAATACACGTTAAACCTATTTCCAAAAATATTTTTTATATCTGCTGCTAGTATAAGTATTTAATGCATTGATTTATTCAGAACTTTTAAATCAATTTACTAATTAAAACTAATTCTGATTCCTAAATAAAAATTTAATATTAATAAGAAATCATTTGACTTATTGTAAATAGTATTTTTAACAATCTAAATTTGTATTTGAATATAACTATTTTCTCTGTTAATAATCTATTAGTACTAGTAAATTAGTATTTAATATTAGTAAAGGGAGATGTAAATACATATAAGATTTTAAGAAAAAACAGAAAGTAAGTTATACATTTATTTATTACGGTATTTTTGTTTTCTTACATTTCATTATTTGACCAATTTATTATGCACCATTTTAGTTTTAAACAAACGCATAATGATTTCCTCATTAGGATTTTGTAACCTTTAACATTATATAATAGAAACGTTTCAAATAAATTTAAGTCTAAATTTTCGCACCATCAGCTATGGAAGATTTCATTCACCTCAAAGCTGGTATAATAATACATATAAAATACGATATTTATAAAATAATATCAGAATCTGTACAACCGGCAATTGAAACATATATATCTATATTCACGTATATTTCTTATATATGTTGCATCTAATATCTATATGCATTTAAGCATAATTATTTTTAATTAAAATATGATGATTTTATTAGTAAAGTTGAATTTATATTTCAAATTTTATATAGTTCTACTGTACTATAAACAGCACCACAAGTTCTTAATCGACAAATTCAAATTTAATAAATATATTAGCTGCGCTATTCAAAAATTGGTTTAATAGAAAATTAAAATATAATTGAGTTTCTGTGAATTATAAGTTAAGAATTTTTAAATGATCGATTTCTTGATTTAGTGAAATTTTACGTAATTAATACATCACTAAGTATTAAAAAAATACTTATCAATTGATTGTAATTGTAAATTGATTACATATATAGTTAAATATTTTCAAAAAAATCAAATTTGATGATATTTTTATTAGTTTAATCATTTAAGTTTAATATCTACTTTTAATGAATAGTATTAATATTCTTATTTATCTAGTTAATAATTTTAAAGTCTTGAGTCTCGATTATAAATCAAATTTATTATTACATACGACTAAATGGAATTTTAATAAATTATAGGTCTTCAAAAGTGTAGAACACTTAATTGGAAACGATCATTTTTCATTTGTAGATTTCGCATAAATTTTTTACCTAAAGCGTAACAATAAAAAAATTTTACGATTATAAGAAACTACAATTATTACCAACAATTTTTTCTTTTTGACTTTTTCTGTAAAAATCGAGACCCATGATTTCTAAAAGATAAATACAAAAAACAACAATATTTTTTAATTCTTCAAGATTAAATAACAATGGTGGACGTCTTATAATGAGTAAAGTATTTTTTTGCGGATAATTTTTCGTAAGTAGTACTCATTGATGCTTCCATAAAGAAATACTTAGAATATAAAATAATGTGTGATATATATTTTTGTATACAAAAGTTATATATATAAGGGTATCTTTGTTTTAAATTTAAAATTATTTTTGAGAATCGTATATTTCTTATTCGCTGATCTATAACGTATTGTTTACGTTACCTGAACACAGTTTGTTCCTCAATCACGAGAAACTTAACGAATCGCACTTAAAAAATATATACATTCGTAATTACTCGCAATAGAAGTAAAATTTACAAAGTTATTCCTTGACGCACAATATTTTCTTTCTGGCTTTAATAGTTGATTACAATATCACTTAATTATACTAATATCAATTATTATTTCCAATAGCTTTAATAATTAACAGATTCATTATTATCAATTTACCTTCAATTTTCGTATGTATAATAATAACAAATATATCTATATTATTGTAAAAATACAATAATATCTATAATTTTTCCCCATAATTTGTCGAACTTCATATTTGAGTGGCAAAGGTTGTTTAGCAATTTTCAGCGAGGATTTCGATACATAATAATATTAATAACCGTGCATTTTTAGTTTTTATGACATTCCATAGGTAGGAATCATCCTCATTTTTCTCATCGATTTAATTTATTACTACCATTATTATTTATTCTTTATTTTTTATTCACTTAATTATTTAATTGAGTACTCTCCTTCATGCATCACGATTCTTAAATTGGTACTTAAAATTAGAACGATAAACTAATATGAATAAGCAAAATAAATGTGAGGATGATAAATTATATATATATATATATATATATATATATATATATATATATATAAATTTTGAACATAACAGCTTTTAAATTATGAGAAAAGTGCTAAATTTAACTAGTGAAAAGGGGTCGTGTAAAAATATGGCATCAATGTGTGCGTGAATTCAGCATTAAAGATAAATTTTTCGTATAGTCAGTGAAGAATATAAAATAAAAATAAAAAATAATACGAATTTTCTCACTTGACATATAAATTCTATTGCACAGTTGTTGGAACATTAAATTACAAATTGCAATAAGCTTATGTGTTATTATATTTTGCATTGTCAATGTTTCCAATAATAACTGGAATATTTAAAAATTTTGATTCTCTTCTGCAAATTTTCTACAAAAATGTTGCAGATTAATTATTTGCATTTATTTAGTCACAATACCGCCATCATACTATTTATTACATATTCTCTTTATTTAAGTAACCGTACATTGTTATGACCGTACATTAAATACATTGAATGTCTGTTATTTAAAATAACCTATGCTTCATAAAATGGACTACCACTGAGTATATCAACTCTTTTTGTAGGTTCAAATCAGATTATGTCAACAAATCCGATCTTTTCATTAGGTTTCTTATTTTTATCAAAGATATATTATAAATAAATATACTATTTAAATACAACATTCCATGTTACTTTTTTTTACTTAACTCGAGACTTAAATATTTCATACATAATATGTCGTACCTCAAATATTTATATTGCTATTCCAAATATATGTATTGTCTGATTACATCGGCATACAATGACAGGAAACAATTTCCTGTACGTGATGCATAAATGAGAATACTTTCCTAATACTGTTAGATGAACAATAATAACGGCAAGTTGTACATTATTTCAATCATACACGTGAAATTTTTCAATCATGGTATTTTAGCAAATCTAGTTTTTATTTATTTATACGAGGAAAATTAAATAATATTTTAATATTTGTTAGTTTCATTTATCAATTTTATATCAATACCTAGATTTCTGTCTGTCCTTTTATTTCTTTTAACAACGAATAGTTAACTAAGAAAAAGTTATGATTAAATTGAAACAACAAAAAATTATAGAAATTTGTTTCTATTTTGCATCTTTTTGTAGATAATGACGTTTAAAATTCGTTTATCACTCTCTCTCTCTCTCTCTCTATATATATATATAATGATCTTATAATTAGTAAATGGTAAAATATACAACATTTTTTTATTAATTTTAAACAAATTTACGTGCTCTCAACAAGCACATTATTAAAATTGACTAAAATTATATATACGGAACTTTTAAATAGCATTACATTAAAGATTACATTTGATATATTATTTATTATTTATATATTTAACCTTTTTTAAGTAAACATTTATGTAGTTTAATAACATAATTGTAAAATAATCTTTGATTACATAGATGATTTAATGGAATTATTTGTATAATTAAATGAAAAAATTTCAATTCCAATATACCGACGATTAAACGTATGCTCAAATTTATGGCTTTTATGTAATATTTGACTGGCTCTTGGGTTTATGACATCAGTTATTTGAAGGAAATATCAATACAACTAAATAGCATTCATCCTAGTATGTTTGTATATTTTTACGATTAGATTTTTTCAATATCGCAAACTTAGAGATATTTAAATGTCTTTCAGAATCCGGTGCAAGAGCTTATTTAATTTACTCGAATTCGCAAAGATATCATTAAAGATCTCCGAGGAGTGAAGTACCATCTTGTCCCGGTATTCGTGGCACAGCATAGCACGTAATTGTCGCCCGCACCACATTCCAACATTCAATACGAAAATAAAAAATTAGCAGACCATGTATTGATTGACTTTTACAGTCCTCTTTGGACTTTAGATAGATTGATTTTGGCAATCATGCTTATTTTAATTTTATTATAAGATCCTCATTTCGTGTGTATTTAAATAAATATATATTAATAATTCTAGAAAATATTCTGTTTTTAAAATCTCGAAAAATTGTATAAATCGCAGTAATATTATTGCGCACGCGCGTGTTCACACACACGCACACACACACACACACACACACACGCGCGTCTTTTAAAAACGGTAACTACAATTTTAATAATAACCATAATAATAATATTGCATGTAATTCATTTATGCATATTATTAATAGAAGATGGAGCGATGGGTATAGATAATGCGAGAAATTAAGATTCTGAGGTTGTTAACTACAAATGAGTAATAATATGAGATAAATGTATTACCTTTCCATTTGAAATATTTTAAACAGTCTTGTGTCATGGAATGGTATAAAAATGTTACTATTATTTTCTAATTTTACGCGAGTTAATAGTTTTATACGAATGATCGTGTATTCGAATAGACGATAATATTATTGATATCCTTAATAAAAAAGCTGCGCATTCTTATATTGTGTTTTCCTGAAAATTATATTAAAAAAAAAAAAAAAAAAAAATCCTTTTTTACGACAGATATTATATATAGACATACATTTTATAGAGTAGTAATTTAGCGTATATAATTATCATACGTTAATATTAAAGTCGGATAATAATTTGTAACTACTGCTTGCAATTTCACAAATGTATTCATTTCATTTTAAAAGAATTTGCTTTAAAAGTTCATTTATATTAA